ATAAGGTTACAAAACACAGGCTATAACAAAATATCAGGTAACAAGCCTATAACAAAATATAAAGTAACACGACCCAGCCTTTAACAAAATATAAAGTAACAATACATCCTATAACAAAATATAAGGTAACAACGCACAGCCTATAACAAAATAAATAATAAGGTAACAAGATACAGCCTAAAACAAAATATAAGGTAACAAGACACAGCCTATAACAAAATATAAGGTAATAAGTTATATACAGCCTACAATATAATAAAAGGTAACAATATACAGCCTATAACATAATATAAGGTAACAAGACAAAGCCTTTAACAAAATATAAGGTAATAAGATATATACGTCCTATAATAAAATATAAGGTAACAAGACGCAGGCTATAACAAAATATAAGGTTACAAGACACAGCCTATAACAAAATACTTAATAAGGTAACAAGATACAGCCTATAACAAAATATAAGGTAACAGGACACAGCCTATAATAAAATATAAGATAACATGTTATATACAGCCTACAATATAATTAAAGGTATCAATATACTGCCTATGACATAATATAAGGTAACAAGACAAAGCCTATAACAAAATACAAGGTAACAAGATATATACGGCCTATACTAAAATATAAGGTAACAAGACACAGGCTATAACAAAATATAAGGTAATAAGACAAAGCCTATAACAATATATCGGGTAACAAGACAAAGCTTACAACAAACTATAAGGTAACCAGATACAGCCTATAACATTATATAAGGTAACAAGACACAGCCTATAACAAGATATAAGGTAACAAGACACAGCCTATAACAAAATATAAGGTAACAAGACACAGCCTTTAACAAAATATAAGGTAACAAGACAACGCCTATAACAAACTATAATGTAACAAAACACAGCCTATAACAAAATGTAAGGTATAAAGACACAGCCTATACTTAAATATAAAGTAAAAATATATATACGGCCAATATCAAAATATAAGATAAAAAGACACAGGCTTTAACAAAATATAAGGTTATAAAAAGACACAGCCTTTAATAAAATATAGGTTACAAGACAAAACTTAAAAATGTAAAGTAACCACACAAAGCCTTTATCAAATAGTAGGTAACAACACACAGCCTATGCCAAATTTAAGGTGAGTGTTCTATTACTGCCATGGGTGTTATTAGATCTAGCCCGTGCTCCATCAACGAGTATTGCCCGTGTTGTACAACAAGGAATAATGTTTTGATGTCACCCTATCTGTAATAATACCACCTTTACAGAATATAGAAATTAAATGAAATTAACGTATTTTGAAAGAAGCATGTGTCTTTGAACGAATCTTGAACGCGAGCTTTGTTTAAAGAATTTAATGAAAATCAATTTTATGATAGTTCTTGCGCATTGTTTTACACTACGCTGTTTTATCGTGAGATTGTTCGAGGTACGTCTTTTTATAACGTTTAAATTGAACTGGATAGTCATCAAGAAGAATATAAATATTTCCATTTTAAAGTAATCGTGGAAAACATTCATCTACAAAACGTTTTGGTTTATCAAATACTGACGTACTGTAGATAACTTGTATGGTATCTATGACATTACTTGCTCAAAATAACGACGTAATTTTGACTTTTCATTTCGTAATTATGGCATTTCATCTCGTTATTACGATTTTGAAATATCGGCAGTAGCCGTTCATATCCGCATAGAGGGGCACGATGAAATCACCTCTTTGCCTGAATAATCAAATAAAAATGATAGTAAATATTTTCCTTAACTATTTTTCATTTTGTTTCGGTAAATAATACTTGTCGACAGAGAGAGTAAACACAGGCATCATTACAAGGAAAGATACGCCAATAAGTAATTTAAGCTATTGTATATTTCTGTAGGTTTTTATGGTATTTCATCTAGCATTAATATATATCGAGTATATCATACAGATATGATATTGAAGTTCACATTATCACACTTTTCCGCTGTCGTACGAAGTAACTCGCCCACTGTGTAACCGTTATCACGCCTCGGCCGGCATTCACTTGAGTCTTATCAGGGATATGAAATCTCTGACGATAATTAGTTTCTATTAAGCACGGGGTAATGTTATGTTATACACTAGGGAAGGTTTAATACGTAAGAGAATGCTAGAGGCAGTGGAACTCCTTGCCATAATTGACAAAGTCTACGCGTTGACTATTTGCACAGACGCAATGCGATGTATAGAACGTTAAATATGCAATACTGATTTTACAACAACTAAGAACGGTTCTTGACCATTTCTAAGAGAGGATACAGCCAAGAAAACTGCTTGGCACTTTCGACGATTTCCGACACAGGATACAGCCAAGCACATTGCTTGGCTCTTTCGACCATTACTGAAACAGGATGGACTTCGCTAAACAATTCGTTTTTATATTAGTTTTATGTTTTTCGACGTCTGGTAAGTAATTTTTCATATTTTCTTTGTCATGTAACATAAATGTGTTTGATGCGATTGGTCCACTATTGGAATAAAATATATTGCTGAGATGAGTGACAGTTTAATACATATGTATATTATAAATTACTCTAAGGGTTAGGGTTATTTTATGATACCTGTAACATTGGTGACAGGTATTATTTCTTAGATTTGTAAGGAAAAATCATTATGTGGTTATTGTTTTGTTTCCTATCGATAAAGATAGGAGTATTTTGTCCTATCCTGATGTGACAACGGTTCCTGTTATCGTTTGCAGTATCGCCATTTTTTCTCTCTCCTGAATGTGTGTTTGACCAACCTGGTTATCGTAAAGAGCTCTTGTATCCTGACCCCATGCGGTACTGATTGCTTTCTTTTACATTATTATAAATGCATTAATCAGCTTATTGTCATTGTCCTCTGTTTTATATTTATTTCCTTTTTTTGACAGCGTTTGCGGGCTACCGCCGAGTGTGTTTCTATGACCTCAACTCAATATACCATTCTGGACTAGGAACTTTCCGTCCGGCAAACATCGACGCTATGCTTTGTACACATATAATCGTAGCATATTCCTGGATCGAAGATAACGCTTTAACAGAGTATACGCCTAATGATAGAGATCTGTAAGTTTGTATCCATTATTTTGTAGGCATATCCTTATCTATCTCTTTTTTTGATATCTAGTGATGTTTAACATGGATGGTTGTTAAAAATACCAAATCAAACAAAAAAGACTAAAATATAAAAGATAAAAGTATACAAGAACGACTTTCCAAAAAAACACGAAAATGACTCATCTATTGTTTAATAAATGTATGATTCCTTGATCAATTGTATAATGGTGAAATAATTATACAGTTCTACATGGTTTATGGATTATGTGAAAACTGAGTTTATTATTTTGTGATTATATCATTAACATAATAATTTACATATGTTTTTGTTGTTGTATATATAGCAGTTTATATATATCATGTGATATGTTTATAAAAATGGAATAATATGTCCTTCCGTCATAATATGATTATTAGAAACAACCAAAACAGTGGTGTCGTCTTGGGCCTATTTTTTAAGAGATGTTACATACCATGGCAATAATTAACGTCAGCAATATTATGACGACAAAGTACGCAAGCACAGAAATATGTCAGGTCACAAATTACAAATAGGCTCCTAGTAAAGAGATTCACAGATACCAGAAAATGTCACTTCACCAACAAAAACGTTTTAAATGTTGTTAGATTTTCGCTAGTGAACAAACCTATCTACAATTGTCCTAACAATAAATTCAAGGTTGTCCCTATATAACAAATATTTTCTCCTGTTATTTTAAATACTTCAACCAAAGTTGATTACATTATTAAAACTCAACCTTAACACATTTTAGTTCACAATAATTAAGCTCATTCTTTATGATAATCGCTTAGGAACTGATGTTCAAATGAAAACTACGTCTGTATTGGTTTGTAGGTGCTTTTATTTATTCATCAGCGGAACAAGAAATGATTCTTTTTTCTACGATAATGTTGTACGGACATAAGTTATGTAACATACAATGCATATTGGTGTAATCATCAAGTACATAAATACGTTATGTAACATACACGTATATAACAATGATGTACGGACATAAGTTATGTAACATACAATGTATATTGGTACAATCGTAATGTACATACATACGTTATGTAACATACACGCATATAACAATGATGTACGGACATAAATACGTTATGTAACATATACGTATATAACAATGATGTACGGACATAAGTTATGTAACATACAATGTATATTGGTACAATCGTAATGTACATACATACGTTATGTAACATACACGCATATTACAATGATGTACGGATATAATTTACGTAACATACAAAGTATATTGGTACAACTATAATGTACATACATAGATTATGTAAAATACACGAATGCACTAATGATTGCCAGACATAAGTATCTGGTTTTTAGCAATTCAAACGAAATCTGGCCCAAACATTGCTAGATCATTTCTATTTCATTTCAGTAAATTTTATTGAAAAATCAAAAGGATTATTTCTATCGTCCTTTCCACCAATCTCGCACAGGAATTGTGAATAGGATCTTATCTCTGTCAATTGAAATTGAATGCATTAGAGTTATATAATGCTTTTGATTTTATTTAGATTAGAATACACTTGTTATGATGCAATCAATTAGAGTTAAAGTTATGCAAACATGTATCAATACATGGAATGACAAACATAACTTGATATCCGTTCAACATTATTGATATAACTTGGTGAGCGCACAGTGTCATTATCTTTCAATCAAAATGCTGGTTTTGTACTTCAGTGATAAAGATAACAACCTTTATTATCTAATCAGTTATTTTTACGCTTTGATGAGTTCTTCCTTACAAACAACAAAATGAAAACAAACATCGATTATATGTAGTTATATATTTTTTAAATATGAGTTATTCATTTAGGATGTACTCTTCCGAGGTTTAAATCGCGTTCAGATCCAGCGTAACGGTTTTTTTTTTACAACAAATGTTCAGAATGATATGATTAATTTTAAAAGCATGCGGCAGTCATTTAAATATCAAAAAAGATAATTTTCATGCAATGCTAGATATTAACCCTTTGTGATTTTAGACCTTTACCCGACAATGTCGTTGTATTTAATTTTAGCTTATAGAAGGGGTTTTGCTGTACACGTTTTAAATGTTCAGGATAATGAAAATAATATGCAACAAAGTCGATAATTGATAAAATATTGTTAATTTATGCTTACCTAGTTTAATTGAAGCATTTTTGACATTTTATTCTGCAAAATGTGAAAATATCACACAAAAATAAAGCTAAAATAGCACGTTCGCCTTACTCCTTGTATTTGGGGGCTATTAAGGAAGAGAAACACTCTTTCCATCGAATATTAAAAAAAAATTATAACAGATTTTTTCTATACAACATTAAATCTCGATGAAGTGGTGAAAGAATAGTATTTATTTTTCATTTAGAAGAAAATGCTTTTTTATCAATTTTGCAAACATTCATAGATTTTGGAAAGACTTGAAAGATATTGTAAGAATTTGTTCGGCATATTGATATATTTGACCGATCATAACTTACAAACGAGCACACGGACCTTCATATATATTTGCATTTTTTATGATGCCATTGACTCACTTTTCCAAAAACACTTGTTAAAAGTTTTAATATATATATATATTTCAAATTCTCACGTCAGTACACCCTTAAAAGGTTACAAGCAGACTACTCGTATACATAGAAAGCAAAATAAGTGGGTATCTACTATAGTTTAGATCCCCCAAGGAAATGAAATAGTTATGCATATGCCAACATGTATTAAACCCTACATATACACAATACAAAAAGATGTTACATTTCAGTGTATTTATCTATGAAAGTACCTACGTCATGTCTGTATTATGTAAGCACAACTTACACTGTGTAAACATTAAAAGTATTTTGGCATCTTTCCATAGTCTCCTTTGTAACAATACAATCGGAAAATGGAATTACGATAGAACAAATCGCCTACATGATGGTAGAATTGCCTGAAGGGCCTCACCACTAAATGGGAATCACGATTCTCACATCCTATATATCACTATAACCCTGTTTAAAGCTATCAACTAAACAATCTGTAAATGTTTGTTTTAAAGAAATAATGATTTGTTCCTTAACAGTACATGAAACACTTTGTTTATAATACACCTTATCGATATGCCATGTACTTACAGTTAAGCATATATTTATTTTATTAAACACGTTTAATTTCTTATGGGAAGTAAGAAGCAAATCTAGCAGTTTTCTTTTAAGCGTAGTTCTAACTTTGCATATTGTTTTTAATGATTTTTAATTTTACTATTATTTGATCTCCGTTATCCGTATTACATAATGTAGTACGTTTTGTTTCCTTTATCAAATTCTTTAAAACATTGGTCAAGTAGTGGCAACTTATTAGTATATTCATGCTGCAATATTTGTGCCATGTGCTTTTGGATGGTTACGGAATTTTTTAAATGACAATTTTAAGAATTTTAGTTTGTGAATATACAAACTACATTCAAATTACAAATTGCAAACACATTACTTATAAATTACATAAAACTATGTGAAAGTAATCACATAACATTTCAAACACTACACACATAAAAATAAATTACAATAAAGCTACATTAAAATTACAAACAAACTGAAAATTTATTCCAGACAAACTACATGCAAATTTAATAAAGATCACAGACTACGTGTATAAAAATATATAGAAAAATAAACTTGCTTTTTGCTTACGAGCTGCAGACATTAAGAACGGTTTTAATATAGATCGAGTTAACGAAATTACAAACGACTATCAAATCCCTGTGGGTATTTATAAACCACCGTATTCATTTATTACAGACATTTTTGTTTCATTAGTTGTCATAAAAGTCGTTTTACTTGATTAAAACAAGAACGACTGGATGAATATAAGTAAAACATGTCGACAAACTACATAAAGTGAACGTTATTTAAGTTTTTGCTACTTTCTGTTGACAATAGTAGGGAATCACTTGCCTATTAATAGTTTACGCGATATCATATCTCAATTTCCAAAGGGCAAACAAGTATACCAAAGTTCTAATCCTATCATTTCTTTTTCGTAACTTCATAAACACAAATAAATCTCAGCCCTTGGAACTACTTTTATATTGCGTACAATAATGTACCATTACTTAAAGCTGTAAAGTGGTCGTATTGTTACTTTCAAAGCATTTCAATTTAACCAATAATAGGTATTGGAGCGATTTTTGAAATTGTCATCGGGGAATGAATCCGTTCAGCCCTCAATGCCAGCGTGACAAATAAATGAATAATAATCTAATAACAAACAGGTTGCCCTGTAATTGTACGGTAAGGCGTATTGAACACGCGTGAGCATGAAATAAACTAATAGACGATTATGTTTCACCTTTTGTGTTGCAGTTACAAGGAAGTTATTGACCTCAAACACGCCAACCCCCACCTAAAGGTTATGATTGCTTTAGGAGGGCTGGTCCCCGACTTTGCTACTATGGTAGCTAAACCAAAGAGAATGATCGAGTTCGTGGAATCCACCATCCCGTTCTTGAACAAATATAGGTTTGACGGAATAGACCTTGACTGGGAGTTTGCAGCCATCGACAAACCCCGTGTGGACAAATCACAATATTCAGGTCTTTGCAGGGTTCGTCTTGTTTCTTTTTCTACATTACTTATTGGATTTATAGGGTCTTACGAGTTAGTGGTAATGTGTTATGCCTGTTTTATTACATACATATTTTATCAAAGATCAAGTCTAAGAATTCAAGAATGGTATCGAAAATCGTGTTTTTCTTTTACAATATTCACAAAGATATAGAAATAAAGAAACACAAAATAAATCAAAACATAAAAGTCAAAAATGATGATGTGCTGATATTATTTTAAGTTCGTTTTCAATTGAGATAGAATTTCTAAAACTCGTCACACATTTTGACTTATTTACTCTCAGGCTCATACATCTGATCATCACATGTATCAAATAGAAAAACCTTATCGCAGATCCTAATAATGTTTCACCAATTTATGATTTATCAAACCAGCCAAACCTTTGAAGTACACTTGTGTTAAAAAACAAGATAATCAGACAAACCACAGTTATTACGTGTAAGACTAATATGCTATATAAATAACCTTGTTAATACCATTTTGTGTAGGATCAATGTACTACACTGTCAACAACCCAGATACAAGATTGTTAGATTTGTACACTACACCTGATGAACAAGCTACTAAAAAAAATAAGTGGTACATGTACACATATTATATAAAATTGAGACTCAACACCAGTTCTCTTATTTCTGTTAATGTTAATTTATCCATCGAAACGTCACTGATAGATATACGAATAGGTATATATAACAAGTGTCGAGTACAACACCACATCTACGTCATTATAACATATACAAAATAGGTTTAAAGTAATAATTGTCGATTAATAACAATATAAGAATAGGTGTATATAACAATTGTCGATAAACATCAACACCACATAAAAGTCACTATAAGATATACAAAATAGGTAAAAGTGATAATTGTTGATAATACCAACACCACAGATACGTCATTATAAGAGATACGAAAGAGGTATAAAATAAAAATGGTTGATAAATAGCAACACCATATATACGTCACTATCAGATATACGAATAGGTGTATATACAAAAGGTTATTTGAAAGAGAAATGCGTCACACGTCGTTAAATTAAATTCATTATGTCGTCTACGTTTGCCCGCAATTTATTTATCCACAATACGATCTACATGTTTTATAGCCGAGAGGCATATGCAACTTGTATCATTTTCACTTAAGTAGCCTACATAAATGATTTGGACAGAATTACTTTTGGATTGTGCCATCCATTTGTACGGTGATTGGAATATTTTTAGTAGGAATCAAAATCTAAATCTAAAATCTAAATATTTTATTTTTAGATATTTAATCTTAATCCAATTAAATCTTAAAACAGTTTAGATTGTAATTTTCTCCTGATGTTTTTAGAGATTGAGAAATGCTTTCGAAAAAGAGTGCGAAAAGTCTGGCAAAGAACGTAAGCTGCTGACGGCTACCGTGGGAACACTGAAATCAAACATCGATGCTGTTTATGATATTCCAGAAATGGTTCAGTAAGTATCCGCCGTACTCCTACATAAATGGGTCACTAACTAAAACGCTTTAAAACGTATTTATAGAAAGTAATTCTTAAACATTTAAAGATGAGTTACTGCATTTAATTCTTCTGTAAAGTATAAAGCTCTAAGGTGTGTTAAACCAGCTTCATAGAAGTTCTGACATTTCTATAGATTGTACACTTTCCATAGGTATATCTAGCGGTCATTAAGCTTATATTAAGTTAAACACCTGTCGTGTTGTCTATCTTGTTAATATTGCCCAATCGATTAACGAAAAGGTAACTAACGAAGGAAGACAATGTTTTACTTTTTGATTTTTCACTTTTATAGATGTTGCCAGGCAAGATAAAATTTTCGACTTTTCCACATAAAAAAATAATCATTTAGTAAACAATAAGTTTGTTTGAATCATAATTTAAGTCTTTATGAAATAGGAATATCCGAACGATACTTTTTTCCCATACGGTACACGTGAAGGACTGCTATGCTATGACAAGGAGCAAGAATAAAAAAATATCGTGATGTTTTTCCTATCTGTCAACTCGGTTTCTAAAGTAGATAAATTGATATCACATTATAAGAGATACGAAAAAGGTGTATAAAATAATTGCCGATAAATAACAACAGATGATATATTTAGATTTTATGTTTTATTCAGAATCAGTTTACAGTGTGATTTATTTTGGTGAAAGAAAGCTGATATTATCTTCATGCATATGATTCAGGCACCTGGACTTCATCAACTTAATAACTGATAACCTATACCGGGAACAGGGTTACCCTGACAATCGGACTTACCACCACAGCACCCTTGTCGACAGGCCAACTGACACGGAGATGGAAAGTTATATCAATATGGTAAATGTGCTATTCCTAAGACGACAAATTGAAATGAAATTACTTCTACAAACTATGTTTTGTTTAAATGTTTAAGCTCTAACTAATTAAACATACACCTTCCTCAATGTTTCCCCGTTATCAAACTGATTTTCGTTGAAAACTCCCGAAATCAGTAGGTGGATGTATATCCGATTATTTATCAACGATTGATATTGCGTTTATTGTAGCAATGGGCAGCGAGGTACTGGGTGCAACAGGGAGTTCCAAAGGCACAAATCAACATAGGAATATCGTTTGGAGCTTTTGGGTTTGAGCTGTTGGATTCAGCTAGTTATGATATAGGGGCTGTATCCGTTGGACCAAGCCCCGCGGGTCCGTTCACAGGGATAAAGGGCATTCTGGCGTACTACGAGGTAGGTACTGACGGGCTTACGCACAATATATATACTACACACGGAAATGTTCGCCAAACTCGTATGTTATCCCCTCGTCTCTCCCTCCCTACGGAATGAGGATGCATAAAAACTTTTATAAAAATATTAGAACACGTCCTTTTTTGAATAATATTTCAACTGAAGAGGGCAAAACTACCACTGAACAAAAAATTAGGTTTGAATAGGTCAAAGGGCAAACGTTTCCGGATTAACTCTGCGCAATTAAACTTATTATATTTTTAGGAAAAAATCATCATCCTTTTATCATGTAAACTATTTATTTTGATACGCAGCTGATTTAAAATAACACACAGGAGGAAGGTATTCCCGCATCATCATTGTCTGCTATCCCTTAGTTAATATTTAAGCTTTAGTATATCTCCATAGCTATCGTTGCAATCTCATGCTGCAGTTACTATTTTTATTACTTTAGTTACAAATTGATATACTACTAGGGCAATGCTTTATACTATTAATGTTCCAGCTATATGTATTACTACAGTTACTGCTATAAAATGCAATAATAACTGCTAGTGTAAACACTGCTACAGCTACTGCTATCTAATACTATATGTATATATACGAATTAACTGCTATACTTATACTTTATTTACTACTTATAATTACATTCGCCTCTCTCTAATACCACAGGCACTGGGTGTCATTCCAGTTTATTTTTCAAGATACAATGAATTGGATATTCGAAACTAAACTGACAAGACTAAATCTTGACAAGACAAATTCTATCATCGTTTGGCCAGTATAATTTGGTCGGTATACCGTTGTTGTTGAAAGGTTTGTCTGCTCCTTGAGGAAGGCGGTCAGTCATACCAGAGCTATAATGTTCCTTTCTACGTCAACGACACCTTGTGGGTAGCTTATGATGACCAGCAGAGTGTTGCAGATAAGGTAAGCATTCTCAATGGATCAATCACAGTATTACAGATATAAGGGTTGAACGGCATTTTCTTCAATGTTCATGTCAGTATGAACGCTAATTGGTTATATTCATAATCCTCGAAACACAATAGGGCTCCATTGACATTGGGAAATGCTGTTCAAAAGATATATTAATATTCTAAACTTCATAATTACATGTAGTATTGGTCTAAATGTAGGTATTCCCTTACATTTGCTATACTCAAATGTCTGTGTTGTCAGGGCAAACTAGGTTTCTTGAACAGCCTAACGTCGCCAAAATGCATGCTTCTAACGAATATCCAATGCGGGAGGGTATTTAATATATTTACACTTCCCCCTCTATAAGCATAACCATAATAAATTGTGTTTATAGGGATATAAAGTCCTCCCGCCTCTATATACATGTAACAACCATTAGGAGCAAACATGTTTGTGATGTTAGGCTGTTCCAACAATCTCGTTTGCACTGACGATACAAACAGTTCAATTTCGAAAATGTAAGGGAATTTCTTTGTTAAGGTCAGTGATATCTAAAAATTTAGAATGTAAATATAAGGATTGAACGGCATTTTTTCAATGTACTTGCCGGTGTAAAATTGAAAAAATAAAGTTCAATTCTTATTTAACTCATATAAATTCTTATACCACATGCAGATAGCGTTCATTACAGCTATCACTGTGAATGCCATTTACCTATTGTTGACGTTAATATTATAACGTCATGATTTTAACGCTTAAATCTACAGACGCTCTTCAGATAAAGGCTGATATCTACGTTGCACGAGCATATAATCAAAAACACTCATTTGATATGTTGGTTAAACTGCTATCAGTTTATACTCATAGTCAGTTTGAACACCAACTGAATGTTCAATTCTAAAGGATGTACTCTTCTGAGAAGTTTAAAAGTCCCTGTATTAATTTTCTTTATATGCATCTTTTGAAAAAGGAGTTGATGAGTTTTGGTAAAGGTATGCAGAACAAATTAATACAATAGCTTCCAAGTATGTTATCAGATATGAATAAAAGTGAAATTTCTCTACCTTATTCTTGTACCTCTATAAGCAATTAAACTTACCTCTATTCATTGTTCTAAATGAAAAATACTCATTTAATTACCTTATCACAGATTTAGTGCTAGATAAAAAAAACTTCTGTAGTTCAAGGTATTTTTTCATGAATTTTTCCTTCCTTAAACATGTAAAATAAATTAGGCTTGTGAGGTTGGGTCAATTTGTCACATAAGCGACCCGTTTTACTATGTTTTACGGTCATTTCATAACTATGGTAATACACACCTGTAACAAAACCTAAAGTTGCTGTGATTGGTCAAAACCGGTTGGAACATGTTCCTTCGCTACTACAAGTACTACTTTTATTTAACATATTTTAACATATTTTGAATTTAAAAATATTTCTTTTGTCATTATAATTTCCATTGCATTTAAAACTGTGCATCAGTAAAAAAAAAAAAAAAAGCACTGGACTACTTTGCACTGCGCAGAACGACAGTTGTATGATCGAAGTACTTTGGTTTTGACCTAAATAGAGTCAGCTGATAACAAATAATTGTGCTTAAAGTTATTTTCTAGTTATGACTGTTATGTGATAAACAGAATATTACATGAGTGTCCATGTCAAATTAAATTTGATAAACTGTTTCAATATTTTGATATGCCACTCGCCCAGAAGTTCGTTTCATATCAAATAATAACTCCTTTTATAAATGTAAGATCCCCTATATATACGGTACACAAATTATTTGACAACATGTTCGTTTAAACAATACGGAAAAGTAGTACTTATATTCGGTTATACAAAATCAATGAATGTTTGCATTGTGTATTATTACTGTATATTAACATATTTTTACGTTATATCAAGGCCGAATGGCTCGTTCAAGAGGGATACGGTGGTAGCATGGTCTGGGAGTTATCTATGGACGATTTCAGTGGTGTATGCAGCTCCTCCGTGAATAGATTTCCGCTCGCACGTCAGATCAAGGACACCCTTCAAACTGCAGAACCAAGTAAGGAAACACAACGAGTTTATAACTGTAGTAAGGACCATATTAACAAAACAATGACTTTTGATTAAACTGTGTTAAGGGCTCTAACTATATAAACTGTACCTATGATTTCTTGCATTATTTCTATTCTTTCCGAGTGTGAGAGTGCGATAGTCCAAACCAAGATTCGAACACTAAACCTCCAATCAATAAAATGTCTCTCTATCAAACTGAGCTACCAGACCACACGTTATACCTTGGTTCGGTCGCACCAGTAATATTTGAAAAAAATAGGGGAGATTACTGAGCATAAAAACAGTGGTATTCTCTCGTGTCTTGTTTGCATTGAAACATGGAATCTTAAAGAACTTTACAGTTATTGTTTGGAATTGTTTGTTTATTTTTGTTTGACATTTGATATTTGATGAGTTTTAGGGCCCAGCACATATCGAAAGGTATGTACCTTCACCGTGTGGTCCGTGGATCGACCCAGTCTGGGAAAGTTCTCCCCCTGGGACATAGACCCAACCCTTTGTACACATATCACTGTGGCCTACGCTACGGTCCGCCATGATAGGCTGGCACCGATATTCGTCCAAGATTTAAAGCTGTAAGTACGCCTTACAGTTGATTTTCTCATTTGAAAGTCGCTTACCTGCATGGTTTTCCTTTGCACTTCAACTCATTTCATTTTTCATCTCCCAATATGTGGCATTGAGGACAGAAAATAATTAGTCAGTCGGTATTTTAGAAGAAAAATCCTGCTTATCAATACAAATGTGCCGTACTCTCAGTTATATTCTCCTTTATGAAAACTTGGGCAATATTTTGTTGATGGTATGTTACTTTTCTTGTACAGATATCGTCAAATCAGCCGAATAAAAAATAACTACCCTCACATAAAGACTCTGTTGTCTGTTGGTGGCTGGGAGGAAGGTAGTGCAGCGTTCTCCAACATGGTATCCAACCGCCTCTCGATGTTTACTTTTGTGAGGTCAGTCCTCACCTTCCTGCGAAACTACGACTTTGACGGGCTGGATCTTGCTTGGCAATACCCAGCATTCAGAAGAGGTTCTCGCCCAGCAACAGATCGTCGCCTCTATGGAGAACTGATTAGGGTAATTTTGCGACGCGGTCAGCAAATTGTTTGCATAGAAGTCCTTCCTCTTGTGTTAGGGTTTAGACAACCTTTCCAACAGTGTTTGTGCTCAAGAAGTGTTATGTTGATTTGTATTTTTGAGGAATGACTTAAGATGAACCGTTACATGGGATGCCTTATTCCGTTAGCAAATCGATCGGTTTATATAAAAACAAGATTTAAGGTAAAAGGTGAAGAGGTTTTGGTTTTTGGTAGAGTCTTTTAAGATGGTTTTGAGATTCATTTTGTCTTTTAACTCATGCAGGACACAGTTTCTACAAAATTCAAGTTTGACTTTAGATACTAAAAGAACAGCACTGTGCTCGTATAATTTTGTACCTTACATCTCAAAACGACTCATGTGTTTACCCCTCTTTACATGTGTTATTATCATAATGTGACAATATCTTTATATCTCTTATAACGATTATACGATCTCTAGGTGACACAAGAATAGCACAGAATCCACATATTTATACGATATTTCGTTCGATATTTAAAAGGCGACGACAAACACATGTACACTATAGTAACATGTTATACATACATTTTAGATATATCTTTCGTTGAACGATCAGAAGCTTTTCACCAAGTAAATCGTAAAACTATTTTTGGTGCAGTTATTCATTTCTTCGATATCTATTCGTTTCATCATAATTATTTCATCATGAAAACAACTAACAAGACGATTGGCAATTTGACACTCTAAAGTGTTGATTTTTTATGTACACATTTTTTATAATTATTCATATTTTGTAATATTTTATTTTGAGCACACGGCTTCTCCCCCATAAAAAAAGTCATTATGTTTAAAGCAATGTCATAGGTACACAGCTATTTCAAACATATAACTACAAACACAAAAAGCTCTGCCGTTTATCATTGTTAAAGTCGTTTCTTATCATTTATGAATAGATGCTTCGAGGTGCGTTCGATGCAGAATGCTTGCGCTCTGGTAAGGATAGTTTCCTTCTAACAGCATCCGTCAGCCCTGAAAAATTCATAATCGACAAATCCTATGATACAAACGCCATGGTTCAGTAAGTATAAACAAAATTGATCATACACTCCCCTACCTTAAAAACTCATAACGTGTCGAAGCTATGGTATATGTCTATTGACTTTACCGTTGAGACTCGAATGGGAAATATGATTTCAATATTGTTAGCTGTACTAAACATGTCATACACTCCCAGAATATTCTCAGTGATGGTTGTTGGGTATAAAAACATGTTACACAATCTCAGGGTATTATGGATGGTTGTTGGGAATATAAACATGTTTCACACTACCAGACTAGTCTTATGGATGGTTGTTTAGTATATAAACAAGCTACATAAAGAGTTTTCCCTGGGATTGTTGTTCGGTATACACTCACAGGGTATAAACAGTTATAGACGGGGTATGAGGGAAATAGCAAATGTATGGTCCCCCGAGGTGAACAACTATTTCCAGAGGCGCCGAGGGAAATAGTTTTTTCCATGGGTGACCATAAATTTGCTATTTCCCAAATTACCTATTATAAAACTGTTTTATTATAACGAAACAAATTAAGGCAATTTAACAAATGAATTTATTAATTTTTTTCTTTAAACGATTTCAAAGAGAGAAAAAATACAATTGGAAGTGCTGTGTGCAACGTCACCATTGCTTTCCTAGCATATTTAGTCCCATCAACTTTTTATAAGTTCTGCATAAAATTTGTATGGACACACGTTCATCTTTACTGTGCCTGCTCTCCCATAATCGTTGAGGCATCCGGCATTCCGTTCTGTTAAATAAGTTTGAAGTAAATTCACTGCAGTCTTAACAACAGCTTTTGAATTTAAGCTGTACTTTTAACGTCCATAATATGCTGTAATTCCTCATCAGTAAGATTATCAAAACCACCTACACCGATGCCATTTTTGCTGTTGTCGTTTGGTTCTGAATTGTGATGTCATCTGCGTCACGGAGAAGGCCCCGCCTACCAAATGTTCACATTTGTTGAAATTTTATAAGCTCCGCCTAAAAAATCCATGAGGGATTAGTCCTCTTTCTGGCAGGGAGTAGTCCTTCCTTGCAGGGGGTAGTCCTATTTTGGGGAGGGAGTAGCCCTCAGATAGAGAGATTTAAGTGATTTAAGGGGAAAAGGACATGTTATCGTATTGTTTTTATGTAAGGAAAACTCAGTAGAGGTATAATAAATTAACATGTTAAAGACTTCCATAGTATTCCGTGTGTTTGCTGTAAGGTATATAAACAAATTACACACTCCCATAGTATTCCTTGTGTTTGCGTTGGGTATATAAACATGTTAGACACTCCCATAGTATTCCTTGTGTTTGCGTTGGGTATATAAACATGTTACACACTCCCATAGTATTCCTTGTGTTTGCGTTGGGTATATAAACATGTTACACACTCCCATAGTATTCCTTGTGTTTGCGTTGGGTATATAAACATGTTACACACTCCCATAGTATTCCTTGTGTTTGCGTTGGGTATATAAACATGTTACACACTCCCATAGTATTCCTTGTGTTTGCGTTGGGTATATAAACATGTTACACACTCCCATAGTATTCCTTGTGTTTGCGTTGGGTATATAAACATGTTACACACTCCCATAGTATTCCTTGTGTTTGCGTTGGGTATATAAACATGTTACACACTCCCATAGTATTCCTTGTGTTTGCGTTGGGTATATAAACATGTTACACACTCCCATAGTATTCCTTGTGTTTGCGTTGGGTATATAAACATGTTACACACTCCCATAGTATTCCTTGTGTTTGCGTTGGGTATATAAACATGTTACACACTCCCATAGTATTCCTTGTGTTTGCGTTGGGTATATAAACATGTTACACACTCCCATAGTATTCCTTGTGTTTGCGTTGGGTATATAAACATGTTACACACTCCCATAGTATTCCTTGTGTTTGCGTTGGGTATATAAACATGTTACACACTCCCATAGTATTCCTTGTGTTTGCGTTGGGTATATAAACATGTTACACACTCCCATAGTATTCCTTGTGTTTGCGTTGGGTATATAAACATGTTACACACTCCCATAGTATTCCTTGTGTTTGCGTTGGGTATATAAACATGTTACACACTCCCATAGTATTCCTTGTGTTTGCGTTGGGTATATAAACATGTTACACACTCCCATAGTATTCCTTGTGTTTGCGTTGGGTATATAAACATGTTACACACTCCCATAGTATTCCTTGTGTTTGCGTTGGGTATATAAACATGTTACACACTCCCATAGTATTCCTTGTGTTTGCGTTGGGTATATAAACATGTTACACACTCCCATAGTATTCCTTGTGTTTGCGTTGGGTATATAAACATGTTACACACTCCCATAGTATTCCTTGTGTTTGCGTTGGGTATATAAACATGTTACACACTCCCATAGTATTCCTTGTGTTTGCGTTGGGTATATAAACATGTTACACACTCCCATAGTATTCCTTGTGTTTGCGTTGGGTATATAAACATGTTACACACTCCCATAGTATTCCTTGTGTTTGCGTTGGGTATATAAACATGTTACACACTCCCATAGTATTCCTTGTGTTTGCGTTGGGTATATAAACATGTTACACACTCCCATAGTATTCCTTGTGTTTGCGTTGGGTATATAAACATGTTACACACTCCCATAGTATTCCTTGTGTTTGCGTTGGGTATATAAACATGTTACACACTCCCATAGTATTCCTTGTGTTTGCGTTGGGTATATAAACATGTTACACACTCCCATAGTATTCCTTGTGTTTGCGTTGGGTATATAAACATGTTACACACTCCCATAGTATTCCTTGTGTTTGCGTTGGGTATATAAACATGTTACACACTCCCATAGTATTCCTTGTGTTTGCGTTGGGTATATAAACATGTTACACACTCCCATAGTATTCCTTGTGTTTGCGTTGGGTATATAAACATGTTACACACTCCCATAGTATTCCTTGTGTTTGCGTTGGGTATATAAACATGTTACACACTCCCATAGTATTCCTTGTGTTTGCGTTGGGTATATAAACATGTTACACACTCCCATAGTATTCCTTGTGTTTGCGTTGGGTATATAAACATGTTACACACTCCCATAGTATTCCTTGTGTTTGCGTTGGGTATATAAACATGTTACACACTCCCATAGTATTCCTTGTGTTTGCGTTGGGTATATAAACATGTTACACACTCCCATAGTATTCCTTGTGTTTGCGTTGGGTATATAAACATGTTACACACTCCCATAGTATTCCTTGTGTTTGCGTTGGGTATATAAACATGTTACACACTCCCATAGTATTCCTTGTGTTTGCGTTGGGTATATAAACATGTTACACACTCCCATAGTATTCCTTGTGTTTGCGTTGGGTATATAAACATGTTACACACTCCCATAGTATTCCTTGTGTTTGCGTTGGGTATATAAACATGTTACACACTCCCATAGTATTCCTTGTGTTTGCGTTGGGTATATAAACATGTTACACACTCCCATAGTATTCCTTGTGTTTGCGTTGGGTATATAAACATGTTACACACTCCCATAGTATTCCTTGTGTTTGCGTTGGGTATATAAACATGTTACACACTCCCATAGTATTCCTTGTGTTTGCGTTGGGTATATAAACATGTTACACACTCCCATAGTATTCCTTGTGTTTGCGTTGGGTATATAAACATGTTACACACTCCCATAGTATTCCTTGTGTTTGCGTTGGGTATATAAACATGTTACACACTCCCATAGTATTCCTTGTGTTTGCGTTGGGTATATAAACATGTTACACACTCCCATAGTATTCCTTGTGTTTGCGTTGGGTATATAAACATGTTACACACTCCCATAGTATTCCTTGTGTTTGCGTTGGGTATATAAACATGTTACACACTCCCATAGTATTCCTTGTGTTTGCGTTGGGTATATAAACATGTTACACACTCCCATAGTATTCCTTGTGTTTGCGTTGGGTATATAAACATGTTACACACTCCCATAGTATTCCTTGTGTTTGCGTTGGGTATATAAACATGTTACACACTCCCATAGTATTCCTTGTGTTTGCGTTGGGTATATAAACATGTTACACACTCCCATAGTATTCCTTGTGTTTGCGTTGGGTATATAAACATGTTACACACTCCCATAGTATTCCTTGTGTTTGCGTTGGGTATATAAACATGTTACACACTCCCATAGTATTCCTTGTGTTTGCTTTGGGTATATAAACATGTTACACACTCCCATAGTATTCCTTGTGTTTGTGTTGGGTATATAAACATGTTACACACTCCCATATTATTCCTGGTGTTTGTGTTGGGTATATAAACATGTTACACACTCCCATAGTATTCCTTGTGTTTGCTTTGGGAATATAAACATGTTACACACTGCCATAGTATTCTTGGTGTTTGCTTTGGGAATATAAACATGTTACACACTCCCATAGTATTCCTGGTGTTTGCTGTTTGTTGTATTCCTAGGGATGGCTGTTGGCCATACTAATCATGTTACATACATCCTACATGTGCCATCATACAACTAGTTTAATTGGTCACAGCAATTGTTATAAAGTAATTCGTTGGTATTGACAGAAACTTGGACTGGATCAACGTGATGACCTTCAGCATGCATGGCCCTTGGTACAAGTCGACAGACCACCATAGTCGTCTTTACGCTCGCTCTGGGAGTAGCATCGACAGCGCCCAACGTACAATAGTATGTACTGTAAACACACTGATTGTTAACTCATCTACTAAAGATTTGAGGATGAGTTGTAAATTAATTTTATTTGCTTCCGTCTATGTATTTATTGAAGAGTTCCGCGGAATTTCGGTATTTTTATTGGCATTCTTAACTTCTCGCAATGCTTGATAAACGGATATAAAACACGTAAACAAAACGATGTTACAAAGTAAGCTTTGATACGTTTCGGGACCCCATTCCGAAGGAATGTACTTTTATTTTTTATTCCTGCATTCAACTTTCAAATCCAAGAATTCTCTGATTTTACCTTTTCTTGACATGAACAGTCATTATATATGCCTACATTCTGTCTTTGAACTTTTCTATTAATCAAATTAGCCGGATGGATAACTGAGGTAATTTTCTTGAAAATTCAAAACTTCTGTGTTACTGAAATCATCGTTAAAGGATTATATGTACCCAAATGATAAAACATTGCCGAAAAAACAGGACCTCATACTTAATGTAATATCTATACAGATACATAAGCAATCATTTTGAAATATCTTTATACTGAAATATCGTACTTGGTCTTCAAATTTGAGGCATCGTTTCATTGAATGAAACAGCTAATAGCAAGCCTCTTGAATTGGTCACCAAAAATGAGGTTATAACGTCACAATTTTTATGACTTCACGATAGATCGCAGTAACAGTTGTTTTTATATAGAAGGAAAGCAAAGCAAATGCAATTATAAAGTGACAAAATGTCCAATGAAACGTAACGGCGTTTTTGTCATATTCAACTAAATATATTTGTATATTTTTGTATCGGGTAATATGTATGATATAAAATAATCAGCTGTTGATATATATTTTAATAAATGGATCAAAGCTATCTGAATCAACTTAATATACACCCGTAAAAGGATAAGCAAGCACGCTTCTAACAAAGATCATAAATTAACACGACGCAAATGCGAATTGTTTTAACAGGAGTGGGCGGCCAGCTACTGGACAAGTGTTGGTGCGGCGAAGGAACAGCTGAATATCGGCCTACCAACCTTCGGCGTGGGATTTACGTTGGACGACTCTAGTAATAATGGTCTATTTGCCGATGCTTGTGGGCCATCTGATTCCGGTCCATACACTAAGGTAGCCGGATACCTGTCATACTGCGAGGTAGGTCATTCACTGTATTATATAGATACTCTATACTTCTCTTTGTCATTTGAATTGTTCACAGATAACCAATAGTTTTATTACAATTTATTTTCATAACATTTAGCATGTTCATCAGTGCTGCTGGCAACACTGAAACATATAGGATTGGTAATACATACTATTATTTCATTTCTTGCCGGTGAGATTTCGAATTCTATCAACTTGGTAAAAGAAATAGCATTCACACTGTAAATTTATATCACGTTTCAATATTACACACCGTGTTCACAGTGTGAGAATATCACCTTTGGTATTGACCAATCAAAACGGCACTTTCTATTCTCCTCATTCAAAACCGCAGATTTTCTGTTCAGATACAGTAGCAGATGAAGTGGTTGTTTTGGTACATCTCTAACAAATAAAGGATTTAATATACCAACACAATTCATACCACTTACGAAAGCAAATACTAATATAGATAATGGTAGCATTGTGGTAAGTAGATCATTCAAAATGGCGCGCAGCCTTATTGTCAAGCCTGACGTCATTAGAACATGGCGCCAAAGATAACGCTATTATATTCCAAATGCTTTGATTCAAATTTCGTTGTTGTATATGTAACTAGTTTCAAAATGTTATAGATAGAAAAAATATATCACATATATATTTTATGTGTTAGAAGAATACCGATATTTTTCTCGAATGCGAATGTCGTATGATACAAAACATGGTATGATAAAAGCGTCCACATTTACATGGTCTGTTATAAGATATGGTATAAAAACGTGATATAAATCATATACATGGCGGAAGTATGGTATCGAACGTATTTATGATCAATGGTATGACATGGACATATATATTGTATAGTGTGATACATTGTATAAAACATACACATTGTATAGTGTGATACATCGCATTAAACATAAACATTAGATATATGATACATTTGTACATCACATAAACCATATACATTGTATAGTGATTGTATAGTGTGATACATCGTATAAAACATACACATTGTATAGTATGATACATCGCATTAAACATATACATTTTATAGTGTGATACATCGCATAAAACATAAACATTGTTTAGTGTGATACATCGCATTAAACATAAACATTAGATATATGATACACTTGTACATCGCATAAAACATATACATTGTATAGTGTGATACATCGTATAAAACATACACATTGTATAGTGTGATACATCGTATAAAACATATACATTATATAGTAAGATACATCGCATAAAACATAAACATTGTTTAGTGTGATACATCGCATTAAACATAAACATTAGATATATGATACATTTGTACATCGCATAAAACATATACATTGTATAGTGTGATACATCGTATAAAACATACACATTGTATAGTGTGATACATCGTATAAAACATATACATTATATAGTAAGATACATCGCATAAAACATATACATTGTATAGTGTGATACATCGCATTAAACATAAACATTAGATATATGATACATTTGTACATCGCATAAAACATATACATTGTATAGTGTGATACATCGTATAAAACATACACATTGTATAGTGTGATACATCGTATAAAACATATACATTATATAGTAAGATACATCGCATAAAACATATACATTGTATAGTGTGATACATCGCATTAAACATAAACATTAGATATATGATACATTTGTACATCGCATAAAACATATACATTGTATAGTGTGATACATCGTATAAAACATACACATTGTATAGTGTGATACATCGTATAAAACATATACATTATATAGTAAGATACATCGCATAAAACATATACATTGTATAGTGTGATACATCGCATTAAACATAAACATTAGATATATGATACATTTGTACATCGCATAAAACATATACATTGTATAGTGTGATACATCGTATAAAACATATACATTGTATAGTATGATACATCGCATTAAACATATACATTTTATAGTGTGATACATCGCATTAAAACATATACATTGTATAGTAAGATAATCTTATAAAACATATACATTGTATAGTGTGATACATCGCATAAAACATATACATTGTATAGTGTGATACATCGCATAAAACATATACATTGTATAATGTGATACATCGTATGAAACATACACATTGTATAGTGTGATACACCGTATAAAATATATACATTGTATAGTAAGATCCATCGTATATAACATATACATTGTATAGTATGGTACATGGTATAAAACATATACATTGTATAGTAAGATACATCGCATAAAACATATACATTGTATAGTAAGATACATCGCATAAAACATATGCATTGTATAGTGTGATACATCGCATAAAACATATACATTGTATAGTAAGATCCATCGTATAAAACAAATACATTGTATAGTGTGATACATGGTATAAAACATATACATTGTATAGTAAGATACATCGCATAAAACATATACATTGTATAGTAAGATACATCGTTTAAAACATATACATTGTATAGTGTGATACATCGCATAAAACATACACATTGTATAATGTGATATATTGTATAAAACATATACATTGTATAGTCTGATACATCGCATAAAACATATACATTTTATCGTGTGATACATCGCATAAAACATACAATTTGTGTAATGTGATATATTGTATAAAACATATACATTGTATAGTGTGATACATCGTATAAAACATAGACATTGTTTAGTGTGATACATCGCATAAAACATATACATTGTATAGTGTGATACATCGCATAAAACATAAACATTGTATAGTAAGATACATCGCATAAAACATACACATTGTATAATGTGATATATTGTATAAAACATATACATTGTATAGTGTGATACATCACATATAACATATACATTGATTACTGTAATAAATCGCATTAAACATATACATTGTATAGTAAGATCCATCGTATAAAACATATACATTGTATAGTGTGATACATCGCATAAAACATAAACATTGTATAGTAAGATACATCGCATAAAACATACACATCGTATAATGTGATATATTGTATAAAACATATACATTGTATAGTGTGATACATCGCATAAAAAATATACATTGTATAGTGTGATACATCGCATAAAAAATATACATTGTATAGTGTGATACATCGCATAAAACATAAACATTGTATAGTAAGATACATCGCATAAAACATACACATTGTATAATGCGATATATTGTATAAAACATATACATTGTATAGTGTGATACATCACATATAACATATAGATTGATTACTGTAATAAATCGCATTAAACATATACATTGTATAGTAAGATCCATCGTATAAAACATATACATTGTATAGTGTTATACATCGCATAAAACATATACATTGTATAGTGTGATACATCACATATAACATATACATTGATTACTGTAATCAATCGCATTAAACATATACATTGTATAGTAAGATCCATCGTATAAAACATATACATTGTATAGTGTGATACATCGCATAAAAAATATACATTGTATAGTGTGATACATCGCATAAAACATATAAATTGTATAGTGTGATACACCGCATAAAACATACCCATTGTATAATGTGATATATTGTATAAAACAAATACATTGTATAGTGTGATACATCGTATAAAACATATACATTGTATAGTAATTAAGATACATTGCATAAAACATACACATTGTATAATGTGATATATTGCATTTAACATATACATTGTTTACTGTGATAAATCGCATTAAACCTATTGTATAGTATGAAACATGGTATTAAACATATACATTGTATACTGTGATAATTCGCGTACAAATTTTACAAACACATACATTACGTGGTATAACTCAATGAATGAAAAAGAAACATCTTGACAATAAGCATCGTGCCAAAAATATTCTAAATTCTCATGCATTTTTACTTTTTTTCATGGGAATTAAAACACAATTTCATGTCTACTGAAAGATATATTACTAAACAATAATTTGAAAATAATTTGATACATTTGTGTTATGACAAGTTATTCAGATGAAATTTATCTTTTAAAATAATGGCAGCGGGATTTAATGCCGAGGATAAGTCAACACATTTTGTATATAATTTCACGGAGAATAAAAATAATGTCTACATCATGAAATATCAATGAATTCCATTTCAGGGTGTCCTATTTCATTTCAGTGTGGCAATAATAGGCACCAAAAAAATTCCAGAATGCAGTGCAAATCGAGTCTAATTGCGAATACTTCTGGCACGATGCTATATGTCCCTCGTTGATTCTGTGTAATAATTAATGTGAAGCTAAAAGAATAAATAAATTAGCTGTTGTCTTTTCTGATTGCATGTTGATATCTTTTATCAAATCCTTATCGTCTTAAACATATTTTTCAATGCAAATAGATCAATGAGCTGATACAGGATGGCGCGATGATGTACCGTGACGATGGTGTGCCATACCTTGTTCTCGGGGACCAATGGATCGCATATGACGACCCACAAAGTCTGTCGGAAAAGGTGAATAGTCAGTAGTTAAATATCTGTTTCAGCTGCTATGGTTTATTGCCACGATTCCTTTGACCACGTAGTCCATGCAACATAAGGTTTTTACCTCGATCTAATTGCTACACCAGGACTGTTGACACAGTGTAAATGTATTTCTCTTGAGTCTCTAAAATACCATATCAACGCACTAAATCCGTCAACGGAAAATATGCCCATTTTAAACATATGGAAACATTTAATTATATGTATCCATTTGGAGTTGATAAAAATATACAGACAGGCATGGAAACGGAAGTAGATAGGTGTATACCGGTCAATGAAAGGTAAAATGATGAGCTCTCAAAAAATCTACTTTGTCGTATGCCTCGAGGAAATGCTTTTAGGATCCCCGTACCACTGCAAAAAACTTGTAACTTAGCATTAGAATCTGTTTTCTCCGACATGAAAATAGCTTTGATAAATCATTTATGAAAAGATACACATACATCCCGGAACTTATATGCAAAAAGCAAAAACAAAAATTAAGATAGAATAAACAAATATAAGCAAAGAACAATGTTCTGAGATTTAAAATAAAGCAGGGCTAGACTGGAAATTCTAACTCTGGACTTCAGATTGTTACCATATAGCTACCGACTGCCCTATCAGATCAACAGAAGTGTTTTGGCCCAACTGTGATATCGTTTCTATCCAAAACGAAATTAAGGGGAGGTGAATATAGATATGAAAAACTGCAGTGCATGGGACAGGTATATCCGTAATGAATATCTTAAACTTGCCAGGGCTTTGTCATAATTAATGCTTTGTTTAAAATGTAAGTTTTCATTACACTTTATGTCGAAAATATCAATTTCATATTTCCCAACGTAAATTTGGACATATACACAGGTTTATTGTCGAAAATTCATGTGCTCATGTGATTTATAAGTAATTTTTCCTCCGTGCATACTTTCACTATTGTTGGAAAAATCCAGTCCAATTTATTACATGTTTTACATCTTAAAGTGTAATATTAGGAATTATCCATTTGATGAAAAAGCCTTAACTTCGCTGTGGTTCGATCCCGGTAATAAATGTGCCTCGTCCCTACTATCTGGACTTTCTGTTAAGAAAAGTTTTTCCAAAGTCTGACTTTATCCCTATTGTCCGAAACAGAAGACACAATCCTCGGCCGCACGCGCCATTTTCAGTTTTTAATACGTTTTTTGATGTTATCTGAACTCGTAAATGAATCATGTATTTAATATGTTACAATTTATATAATGTGTTCCGATTTTGGGTCCTTCCTCCTCCGGTATTATCATCCCGGACAGCAATTGTGATGTTCTTATATCGTTAATGTGAATAAAGTTTGCCTTTTTTATAAAGAATACAATAGAACTATATCAATTAACTGGGCCTGGAAACAATATAGCACAATCTGTGTTATACGTCATGGCCGCACTGTATTACTATCAAATTCGATTAGACCATCGTATTCCGCGTGGTATTGCATCACAAAATGATCCGACGCACGGACGTCCCAATCGCAAAATCAGACTAACAAGTAATCTAATGTATCTCTTCCCTCCGCATCACCTAGAAATTCATAGTGAATTCAATCCGATACATGCCGATTAACATAGCAAAGTACATACTAGCCACACAAATGCTTTTAAATGCTTATTCACAACATAAACACCACTTCGCTAGATTCCACGTTAGCTTTATTAAACCTCCTACCGGCTATCCAGAAGAATGTCTGTTCCGATTGCTAGGGCATTTCATAAAACTTCTCACCTGCACCGAACGCGATTCCTTCAGTTTATTTTGACCATTCGGCAACTCAACTCTTCGCCCAGTAGCTGATCCTGTAACAGTTTTCACTCACCGACTCTTCCACTGCAAGCATTGTTGTTTACAATGAAATTGTGTGTTTTGCATCATTAGAATGTCACAAACTACTACCGTATAAAATGTATGGCAAAGACATGAGAAGGGATCCCCTTTTGTATCAATAAAAACATTTTGTGTGTGAAAATATATCAACGAAATCCGATTGTCTTTTTCCATTAGGAGACTCACTTAATATACTCACGCAGTATTTGCAAAAAAGGTCATTAAAATATATGCTTCTTCGTGATGTCCATTTAACAAATTATATGTTAAATACGAGATGAAAAAAAGCTCAGAAGAAGCTTATTATTAACACTATAACACAGTATGTTTTTGTCTTTTTTTTATAATAACATCTGGAATACAACTACTATATGTATGCTTGATATAATGATTTTTGTCTACTAGACGAGCTGGTTAATACAAGAAGGATACGGGGGAGCCATGATGTGGGATTTATCAATGGACAACCAGTGTAGTAATACATCAGACACTACGTTTCCATTAATCTCGGAAATAGTGGGGACGTTGCGTGACTCCGAGACACAATCATCTACCTCCTTGCCAACATCTACTTCATCTACATTACCAACCACGACCCCAACAACAACAACAAAACAACCACCAGGGCCAACAACAACGACAATAATTACAACAACCACACAACCAACAACCACAACAACTATACCTACAACAACTACAACCTCACCTACTACAATAACAACTACACCTACTACAACAACAACTACACCTACTACAACAACAACCACTCCAACGACTACGACGACCACACCTATTACTACAACAACCACTCCAACGACTACGACGACCACACCAACTACAACAACAACTACACCTACTACAACAACAACTACACCTATTACTACAACAACCACACCAACAACTACAACAACCACACCAACTACAACAACAACTACACCTACTACAACAACAACTACACCTACTACAACAACAACTACACCTACTACAACAACCACACCAACTACAACAACAACTACACCTACTACAATAACAACTACACCTACTACAACAACAACTACACCTACTACAACAACCACAACAACCACCACAACAACCACACCAACCACTACAACAACCACACCAACTACTACTACAACCACACCAACTACTACTACAACCACACCAACAACTACTACAACCACACCTACTACTACTACAACCACACCAACAACTACAACAACACCAACAACACAACCTTCAACTACGACGACCACACCAACAACTACGACAACCCCACAACCTACAACAACCACAACAACACAACCAACAACTACGACGACCACACCAACAACTACGACAACCCCACAACCTACAACTACCACACCAACAACTACAACCACCACCACACAACCTACAACAACAACAACCACACAACCAACAACTACCACACCCACACAACCAACAACTACACCCCCCACACAACCTACAACAACCACGACCACACCAACAACTACAACCACCACCACACAACCTACTACAACCACAACCACACAACCAACCAACAACGACGACAACCACACAACCTACAACAACCACAACCACACAACCAACAACTACCACAACAACACAACCAACAACTACCACAACAACACAACCAACAACTACGACGACCACACCAACAACTACGACAACCCCACAACCTACAACAACCACAACAACACAACCAACAACTACCACAACAACACAACCAACAACTACCACACCCACACAACCAACAACTACGACAACCCCACAACCTACAACTACCACACCAACAACTACAACCACTACCACACAACCTACAACAACCACGACCACACCAACAACTACAACACCCCCCCCTTCTACAACAACAACCACACCAGCTACTACCACAACCACACCACCTACTACAACAACCACTCCGACTACAACAACAACCACACCAACCACAACAACAACCACACCAACCACAACAACAACCACCACCACCCCCCCCACTACTACAACACCCACACCAACAACTACAACACCCCCCCCTTCTACAACAACAACCACACCAACTAAAACAACAACTACACCTACTACAATAACACCTACACCTACTACAACAACAACCACTCCAACGACTACGACGACCACACCTATTACTACAACAACCACACCAACAACTACAACAACCACTCCTTCTACAACAACAACCACACCAGCTACTACCACAACCACACCAACTACTACAACAACCACTCCGACTACAACAACAACCACACCAACAACTGCAACAACCACTCCTACTACAACAACAACCACACCAACTACTACCACAACCACACCAACTACTACAACAACCACACCTACTACTACAACAACCACACCAACTACTACCACAACCACACCAACTACTACAACAACCACTCCGACTACAACAACAACTACACCAGCTACTACCACAACTACACCTACTACTACAACAACCACACCTACTACTACAACAACCACACCAACTACTACTACAACCACACCAACTACTACAACAACCGCACCAACCACTACAACAACCACACCTACTACTACCACAACTACACCTACTACTACAACAACCACACCAACTACTACAACAAACACACCAACTACTACTACAACCACACCAACAACTACAACAACACCACCTGCTACAACAACAACCACACCAACGACTACAACAACCACACCAACAACTACAACAACAACACCAACAACTACAACGACAACCACACAACCAACAACTACGACAACCACACAGCCAACAACTACGACAACCATACAATCAACAACTACGACAACCACACCTTCAACCACAACGACAACCACACAACCTACTACTACGACAACCACACCAACAACTACAACAACAACAACACAACCTACAACTACGACGACCACACCAACAACTACAACCACCACCACACAACCTAAAACAACCACAACCACACCAACAACTACAACAACACCCCCTGCTACAACAACAACCACACCAACGACTACAACAACCACACCAACAACTACAACAACAACAACACAACCCACAACTACGACGACCACACCAACAACTACAACCACCACACAACCTACAACAAACACAAAAACACAACCAACAACTACCACAACCACACAACCAACAACTACCACAACCACACAGCCAACAACTACGACAACCACACAACCAACAACTACGACAACCACACCAACAACTACAACAACCACACCTTCAACCACAACGACAACCACACAACCTACTACTACGACAACAACACCAACAACTACAACAACACCAACAACACAACCTTCAACTACGACGACCACACAACCTACAACTACGACGACCACACCAACAACTACAAGCACCACCACACAACCAACAACGACCACAACCACACAACCTACAACTACAACAACCACAGAACCTACAACTACGACGACCACACAACCAACAACTACCACAACCACACAACCTACAACTACGACAACAACACCAACTACCACAACCACACAACTTACAACTACGACGACCACACAACCAACAACTACGACGACCACACCAACAACTACGACAACCACACAACCTACAACAACCACAACCACACAACCAACAACTACGACGACCACACCAACAACTACAACAACCACAGAACCTACAACTACGACGACCACACAACCCACAACTACGACGACCACACCAACAACTACAACCACCCCACAACCTACAACAACCACAACAACACAACCAACAACTACCACAACCAAACAACCTACAACTACGACAACAACACCAACTACCACAACCACACAACCAACAACTACGACAACAACACCAACAACTACACCAACAACACAACCTACAACTACGACGACCCCACAACCAACAACTACGACGACCCCACCAACAACTACGACAACCACACAACCTACAACTACGACAACAACCCCAACAACTACAACAACAACACAACCTACAACTACAACAACCACACAACCTACAACTACGACGACCACACCAACAACCACAACCACAACACAACCTACAACAACCACAACCACACAACCTACAACTACGACAACAACACCAACAACTACAACAACACAACCTACAACTACGACGACCACACAACCAACAACTACGACAACCACACAACCAACAACTACAACCACCACACAACCTACAACAACCACAACCACACAACCAACAACGACCACAACCACACAACCTACAACTACAACAACCACACAACCTACAACTACGACAACCACACCACCAACCACAACCACAACACAACCTACAACAACCACAACCACACAACCAACAACTACGACAACAACACCAACAACTACAACAACACAACCTACAACTACGACGACCAAACAACCAACAACTACGACAACCACACAACCAACAACTACGACAACCACGAAACCAACAACTACCACAACCACACAACCAACAACTACCACAACCACACAACCAACAACTACGACAACCACACAACCAACAACTACGACAACCACACAACCAACAACTACCACAACCACACAACCAACAACTACCACAACCACACAACCAACAACTACGACAACCACACAACCAACAACTACGACAACCACACAACCAACAACTACCACAACCACACAACCAACAACTACCACAACCACACAACCAACAACTACGACAACCACACAACCAACAACTACGACAACCACACAACCAACAACTACCACAACCACACAACCAACAACTACCACAACCACACAACCAACAACTACGACAACCACACAACCAACAACTACGACAACCACACAACCAACAACTACCACAACCACACAACCAACAACTACCACAACCACACAACCAACAACTACGACAACCACACAACCAACAACTACGACAACCACACAACCAACAACTACCACAACCACACAACCAACAACTACCACAACCACACAACCAACAACTACGACAACCACACAACCAACAACTACGACAACCACACAACCAACAACTACCACAACCACACAACCAACAACTACCACAACCACACAACCAACAACTACGACAACCACACAACCAACAACTACGACAACCACACAACCAACAACTACCACAACCACACAACCAACAACTACCACAACCACACAACCAACAACTACGACAACCACACAACCAACAACTACGACAACCACACAACCAACAACTACCACAACCACACAACCAACAACTACCACAACCACACAACCAACAACTACGACAACCACACAACCAACAACTACGACAACCACACAACCAACAACTACCACAACCACACAACCAACAACTACCACAACCACACAACCAACAACTACGACAACCACACAACCAACAACTACGACAACCACACAACCAACAACTACCACAACCACACAACCAACAACTACCACAACCACACAACCAACAACTACGACAACCACACAACCAACAACTACCACAACCACACAACCAACAACTACCACAACCACACAACCAACAACTACGACAACCACACAACCAACAACTACGACAACCACACAACCAACAACTACCACAACCACACAACCAACAACTACCACAACCACACAACCAACAACTACGACAACCACACAACCAACAACTACGACAACCACACAACCAACAACTACCACAACCACACAACCAACAACTACCACAACCACACAACCAACAACTACGACAACCACACAACCAACAACTACGACAACCACACAACCAACAACTACCACAACCACACAACCAACAACTACCACAACCACACAACCAACAACTACAACAACCACACAACCAACAACTACAACAACCACACAACCAACAACTACAACAACCACACAACCTACAACAACCACAACCACACAACCAACAACTACCACAACAACACAACCAACAACTACCACAACCACACAACCAACAACTACGACAACCACACAACCAACAACTACGACAACCACACAACCAACAACTACGACAACCACACAACCAACAACTACCACAACCACACAACCAACAACTACGACAACCACACAACCAACAACTACAACAACCACACAACCAACGACTACAACAACCACACAACCAACAACTACGACAACAATACAACCAACAACTACGACGACTGCACAACCAACAACTACGACAACCGCACAGCCAACAACTACGACGACTGCACAACCAACAACTACGACAGCAGTTCCAACAACCACACAACCGACTACCACATTGTTTTAATAGGTATGTTGTTTTAAATTGCAATTGAAAGCACTGTGACATAAATTGTTAATTTTATGATAGACATCTTTAAAATCATGTATCGACAATGAATTCAACAGTCAAGCTGGTCTTTTAGACTGTTTACTTGGGTGTGTTGTGTGTTGTATGGAGGATTATTTGACTCGCATCAAAGTACAGTACCTTACGGTTTTTTCATTTAGCTTATAATGTTTGGCCAGGATTTGTCATGAGTTACTTTGTATGTGCAAGGACTTTATTCGGTAAAAACGACATCGAATAGTGTATTCAGCAAAAATCAAAATATATTTCACGAGTGTAGCAGAATTTTTTATTTATTTTATTAGTGACCAGAAGCTGTCGCGAAAGGTATTTATTATTGAAGATATTATTGAATATTCTGTGTGTTACAATTCCATATCAACACAAAATCTTTCCTAGAACACGAGGCGACGCATCAACTTGACAGGAATTTCAGTGGAGTGTGTCACCACATTCATTTACAGACAATAATACGCGTCATTATAAAGTTGTATGTAAAATTTACAAAGAAAAAAACGGCTAATGTTGTTAACCTAGTCGAAGAAAAGGCAAAATGGAAACAAACTTGTTACTTGTTATGACATTAATAGCGCATCCTTACAAAAGAAAAGTCGGGGGGGGGGCAAGGGGCTACCAAATTCACAACACATTAGGTACTCACTTCAAATGTGACAAGGATTTAAGCACTGTGTCCATGAAAGATAACCGTACTTCAATCAATTTTCCTCTCCCCGATTGCTACTGTAGCTTTGAAGTTACGTGTTCATCAAATAGTTTGAATTACTGATCAACACATTAGCTGACGACAGTAAAAATGATTAGAGTATTATACCTTTAGTGCAAAATCCTATTGTCAGATTGGTTGAGACAAATGGTTCATTTCACACTGTCACATTCGCTTTTACGTTGAATCAATGGAAGGGTGCTTCCCAACGCCCTAGCAACGAGTGACATTGTGTGTGACAGTGCAAAATAGTGACCTCGCGTACGGTTCGTTTCAGCCGCCATGTTTAACTTTCTGTATAATAAAATAAATACACGTAGTACTACATTCATTAGAGTGAGACAGTGCCTCGGGTCACCACTCGTATATCATTGTCAGCCATCGAGGTGACCCTAGGCACTGTCAAATCCAAATTCAAATTATTTTATTGCATTGAGCTTTACAGCTCATCTGTATAACATACACATACAAATATTACCAAGTAATAACATGATGTGCGGGACACATAGTGCAGTGGAGAATGGACATCAGTACAATTTACATTAATGGTTTTCTCAAATTGGTAGCACCGTATATAACTTTGCTTAACGTATTTAATTCTTTAGCATTTGTTGTACTTAATAGCTGTACTAGTTTAAATACTGACGGTTTTTTTTCAATAATACGTTTTTATAAATCCCCTTCTAATTTCTTGATAACATGACACTCAGAGGAATTTTCCAAAATCTCCAAAACCAAGGCTATAAAGCGAATTTTTAACATAGTCAACCCAATTAAAAATATCTTTTCGTTTGGGTAGTTTCATCAAAACTTTACATGCAGTTTTTCAAAATACAGTTATTGGAGTTAACAATTTTCAACCAATATTTTATCATACGATATTTTCTTTTATGTATAAAAGAAAATCATCCTAGTTCCAAATCGACCATTGCATTGCATATTGACTTTTTAGCATGAAGTACCTTTTACAGAACTCGACATGTACCTTTTCAATGTCCAATCCTTTACTGGCACCCCAGACTTCCGCTGCATAGCATACAATACTGTTGACATATGTGTCAAATAAATTCAAAAAGGAGGAACAATTCAACTGCATAGACCTGCATTTATATACAGAGCAAACACTGCCTTTCGGCCTTGTTCGGATAACTGCTTTTGTAGTGCATTAAACTTATTATTGTATCTAAAAACAACTCCCAAATATGTGAATTGGTCTACTACTTTCATTATAAAACCATACGTCATTATTATGTATTCTTCCATTATTCTGAAAAACAATAATTTTCGTTTTTTCCACATTTACAGTAAGGCTTCATGATTGAGCATAAGTACATAAATTATCCAACATGTTTTGTAAGTCGCTGCTAATGAGATTAAATCATCCGCATACATCATCAGGAATACTTCACTCCATTCAAATAAAAGTCGTTAACATATAAAGAAATCATTATCGGTGACATCATTTCCCATTTGGCGAGGCCTATGTTGTTGGCGAACAGATCTGAACATCTTCCATTAATCATAACATCATTTTACTTGTTTATACCTTGTTTTGATACTTGTAAATAGATTCCCTCTAATACATAATTTGCGATAATTAATACTATAATTTATACCTGTTAATAGTATCAAATGCCTTTTTAAAATCTACAAAACAACAATACAGACGCTTATTAAAATTTAAGGCTTGATAATTATGGCATGCAGTGCAAAGATGGCATCAACCGTACTTAAACCGGGACGGAAACCAAATTGAGCGTCTGTAATAATGTTGTTTGATTCTGATCAATGTATAAGAAATCGATGTAAACAATTTTGCCATGCAGCTTAGAAGATTGATCCCTCTATAATCATTAGGGTCTCCACGGTCTCCTTTTTTGTAGACTGGTACAATGACAACAGATGACCAAGCTTCTGGAAAATATCCTGAACTTTAAACATTATTAAAAAGTTTCACCATCACAGAGATTAGATAAATGCTACATTCAATAAAATACTCGTTAAGTATACCGTCCACGCCATGGGCCTTCCCTCTTTTCAGTCGATCTATGGCTTTCCAAATTTCCTGAATAGTAATCGCTTGATCCAGTTCATCAAAAGCAGGAGAATCATCTGCATCATCTTCGTGCTCATCCTGCTCACTAAGCTTACCAGACAGGTCCTTGAAATGGCGGTAAAAATCCGACATTGATGCAGTCGGCACTGTCAACCTCTAATGAATGTAGTATTTATATTATGCTTACTGTGGCATTAAAAGTTGTGTTCCCCTATAAGCGACTGATGTTGTTTCACGCCAGTGGGTGCAGCGTTTCTGAAACTTTCTTATTTAGGCTAGTCAGTTTTTTTATAATAATGCAAGTATTCAGTCGTTTAGATTGGAAATTTTGTATGTTTCACTGGGAAGAATATGAAAACAAAAACGCATCACATCAGCCACCTTCACTCCCTTTCATTGTATTCACTTATGGAGCTCACTGACGTAGCAAATTTCGTATTCCTGTCAGTAAGTACTGTTCGAATAATCACACCGGCGTGCAAATATTACTCCGTTTCCTCTAAATTATAACAACAATGTCAACAAAGCTAGGTTTCTTGAATTCTGAGCCTGGTCATCGGCGTGCTGTATTTTAAATAGCTGGTTATGCAGCTCAATTATGGCAAGGGGCACAACTCGTACCACCTCGCTAGTTTTCCCGTGGCTTGAATAAAGAGTTACGTCTATTAAAAACTCTATGACTGTATGTGTATACAAATCCGAGGATCAATACGTAAAATAACAAAAAAATAACAAAAATCATAACAAAAATCCCCCTTTCCTGTACTGTATACGTATGTTATCATTGTTAGTGCTACCGAATTGACGACTGTTGATAACTCAACGATTCTGTATGTTATTTTCCATCCTTAGTACTCTTCATGCTTTTCATTTTTTTCCTCTCTCTGTCATCCCATTATATCAACTCTGTTGGAGCATATTTCCTTCCAAATAACGCAACATGACATATCGATTCCAGCATCATTCGTTTTGCAGGGCGGGGACTGAGTCGACTGTGTTCCCAGTGAAATTGGAATATTGTCGGGAAATTTCAAACGGCTAATTGCGTTCGATTACATGCATTTTCTTGGTCAATGAGTTGTTGTTAAGCTGTTCATATATGTGGGGTTCCATACCATGACCAATAATGTAACATTTACGCGAACTAGTTATATCATGATCAGGGCCTTTGTTTACATTTTAACATGCTGAGGTCCCATATTCCATTACACAGTCTTTCAGTGAACAGACTTTGTCTGATATGGGTCAATGTATTAAACCATAGTTTATATATTTTCAGCATGGTCAATACACAAGCACTGACGCACTAGACGTCAGATTTGACGGTGTGCTGGCAAGACAGATCAAGACTGTGCTGGTGAAACGCTTACGTTGTCCATGTATTGTATGTATCCTACACTTCAATGTACTTCCAAGGGTTGGCTTATCAATAAAGTTTCTGATCTGTCTAGAACGTGTTTTTGGTTTTTTTTAATCTGTGTTTTACATAAGCCTTGCGTATGTGACTTGGATCCGTGCAAATTGATCGAGCGTGACTAGTGATGTGCAATGTAACTATTCATCCTTTATCCTGCGTTCAATATTCCCTCTCAAACCAACACTAGGCGGCGCTTCTCTGCAAACTTTTCTTCTTCCTAAATCAGGAAGACAACAAAACAAAAGATAGTTCACTTTACATGCAATCAATAAGCCGTTGCATAATTCGTGATTAAGAATTAACCGGCCTATGTGCGTTAACAAGGTTAAGAAAATGTTGGGGAAAATAATTAACGAAGGCCGATTGCGGCCTCAGTTGAGTATTTTTCCAACATTTTCGAATCCCGAATCATATATTCCACCAAATGGTACAAACTTACGTTGAAATTATCTATTCTATCAAAGAAAATGTAACGAAAGTCTTTTTCGTGTCCACCTTGGTGTCCATTAACCTTTGATAAAGAAGGTGACCTAGATAATCGATCCTTAGTTACATTTACAGGTATTGCATCCACAATGAACAAGCTTTATTGATGACTATTGAACAGCTTGAATATCATTAACATTAACATTTAAGGCAAAGAAATGACGCTACGTGAGCCTTAACTGAGTCTAAGGCAGATTTTAAGTTAAGCCAATATAAAACAAATTAAGGTATGTTCATACAATGTTCAGCATAACAAAACTTCATGATCAAATAATATTCGTAGTGAACATAACGAGGACATAATGAATGTCAGACAGATTAGGTTCTAAAAAAGGTGAAAATAATGCTAAGAACGAGTAATGAGTACGAGTATGTATCCCAATATAACGTTTTACCAGTAGTCGAAGAAGACCACGTTCAATGTGTGGTAAAAGGTCCATGCGAATATCATGAATTCCGTATTACTTTATCATACGAGTAAACACTTACGTCTATGATAGAATATGTACATTTCATACATTTATTCATATATTAGCAAACCAAATTCAGATACTCTATGTCTAGGTGTTGTTACCAAGACATAATCACAGGCAATACAAATTCCCCAAGCACATTGCAATGCTAAATAAAGCATTAAATACTAGTGTATTTCAAATTAATCTAACGCAAAAAAAGCTTAAGATGTGTTTCTTGTGATTCAATATACTGTATCATATATTTACTCTTTGTTTATATGATATTATATTTACATTTCCACTGTAGGTTCCTTTTTAAGAATTACACATAAGAAATTTGGTTCATAGGGCTATGAAAGCAATTGGATCAGTGTCATTTCGAAATTTCTCCTCTTGCTTCGCATGAGACAACCGTTAGAAGCAAACATTTCGATGATGTTTTGTTGATCCAGGAATATAGTTTGCACTGACGACATAGACACTTTAATATAGAAATGTAAGGAAACATCTGTATTTAGGTCAATAATGAAATTAATATAAGGATTGAACGGCATTTTCCAATGCTCATGCCGGGATGACTACAAATCGGTTGCATACATTTTAGCATGAACCGTTAGCGGCTTCGTGGTACATTGTAACTGTGCATGTAACCAATGCGCGTCCATCCCAGCATGAAATTGAAAAATAAAATGCCGTTCGATCCTTTAAAAGGAATACCAAGGAGAACATAAGAAAATTGGAAACCAAGATTTTTACTAACTTGTTGGATTATCATGCATATCTTTCTTTAACCAAAAGAAGGAATTGAGCTGGAATTTAGATGGCACGGTCTTTGTCATACTCATGCAGAATATTGGTCTGTTTAAGCATACTGAACCATCTTATAGAACAGCCATAACTTTAATACTTGATTTGACATTTTTTTTGTATCGGAGCAGTTTGGCACTATATATCTTATGTCAAATTAAATAGTTCAGCACATGAGTATAGAAACATTTCGTAATAAATATGTCTTTCTAATGCAAACCATACCTTAAAATACATAATTCGGAAGTAGCCATAAAATCAGTTTTTTGACAAAAATGTCAAAATGTCGTTATTTTGTTCTTTAAAAAAAGACGCATTTAGACTACAGACTCATTCTTTTAATATCCTGGACTTCAAATTTAACAGTAATGATGTCGTGTATAGCTGCTTACATAAGACATTTAGTCTATTCGCTTTGTCCCTAGCGAAAAGTCGTCAAGCGACAAAACAAAATAACGAAAAGACGAACACCCGCCAAAGCGGCGAAATAACGAAAAGACGAACACCCGCCAAAGCGGCGAAATAACGAAAGACGAACACCCGCCAAAGCGGCGAAAAGACGAAAAGACGAACACCCGCCAAAGCGGCGAAATAACGAAAAGACGAACACCCGCCAAAGCGGCGAAAAGACGAAAAGACGAAAGCCCGCCAAAGCCGAAACACGAAAAACCACCAAAGCTAATTAACGAAATAACGTCAAAAGGACGGAGAAAGTATGCCATTTTATTTCTATAATGTACGCCTTGGCGTTATTTTTATTTCGGCCTGGCTTTTTTTCATTATTTCGCTATGGCGGTTTATCGTCTTTTCGTCTTTTCGCCGCTTTGACGGGTGTTTGTTATTTCGTTCTGTCGCTTAATTGGCGTCTTTTCGCGGGGGATAAAGCGAAAAGACGAAATGTCATATAAAAGCCACCATAGTCGCGTCAGTGTCTGAATACAAATTGAATCATGGATTAATATCGATACACTAACATTTTTCAATACAAGGACACAGTTGAACTGCCTACCACAGACAGCACGTTTACCTATTTAATAGGTTATGTGTATAGCTGCATAAATCAACAGGGAGCCTTCTTGCAAATCCTTGATATGAATTGAGAGGGGTTTAAACTGACAATTGGAAGATCGACAACGGTTTCATGAATAATACGTCACCTATACCTATGTATTGAGGAATGTCAGGTAGATTGAGATAGACAGAGTTAACCGTTTGACGAACACATCAGTTTTACAGTTAAACAAGACACATTTTCCTAGGATGTCAAGGAGAAGGTTTAAACACGTCCGACAAGTCTAGTTGTTTTGAAGAAAATATCAAATGACTACGTCACAGCAGGTAGGTGTTAATTCAAGGGCACTGTGGATACGTTTATATGAAGACATGTAAGATAAAGGATGAGTTTAAGATCGTTAAATGTATAACCCGTATAATATTTAATTTCGTTTTCTTATGATATATGGCAAGCGTGTTTTTTTCGGATCCGATCGGCAACGTTACACCAAAACAGCAGTATACGTATACGAAGCTTCACAAATATCTCCCAGAATGCATGGCTTTGAGACAAGGAAGTAGTACATGTATCTAACAGCCATGCTATCATAGTTAAGTGAAGTATACGGATCACTTGCATAGAAAACACGGGATGCACAAGATAATCGTCGCTGGTAACATTGTACCATGATTTGTGGTTAACATATCCAGGTTAACACAAAAAACATTTTCGTATTCTCATAATTTTCTAACAAATCAGAAAATCTATAAAATGTGAACTAGGTGTCAGAAACAAACCTATTTAGGTCTGAGGTTTCCCACCCTATGTAATGCAACAGAGGAATGATCACTACGTAAACAAAAATGCATTCTGGGAGATGTTTGTGCAGATATAAAATATACACTCGGAGTAGTTAGTATGTCAGTTAACAAAACCAAATGAAGGATATAAATGACATTCAAATATATTGTATTTATAGTCACATTAAAATATAAGCAGCGACTTAAAAACGAATGGTCATAACATTACACATATCAACATAATCAGCTGTACATGACACCGGTGGCGTAGCAAATTAAAAATTGATTTAAAAACTAATATCATGCTGTTGCAGGCGCAGCGGAACAACACTGATTGATTGTCAGATTCAGATTCAGATTCTTTATTTCCTTATGTTTACAACACATCGGAGAGTAGACATACATATATACAAGCTATCACAATGTATAACACATCGGAGAGTAGACATACATATGTACAAGATATCACAATGTATAACACACATTACAGTGGATGCAATAGTGTACAATGCATAACATAGATTATTAAAACACAATATACCTGTATGTGGGTATAACATACAGAACATGCAGTATTATATTTAGTTAAACAATATTATTTCGTCGTTTTGTACTTAAATGCAAAAATTTGCCTAGGTTATTTAGATCTTTAACGATTTTGGTATTGAACAGTTCTATTAACTTGAAAACACTTGGTCGTTTGTAAAAATAAGGTTTAATATATTCATGCCTAAAATCCTCATAAAATTTGCATTCCAAATATGTCATCACAGGCGTAGCAGCATAAACTCGGAAATAGATGCCGTTACAGGCGTACGCGTAGCGGCATAAACTCGGATGTATATGTCATTACAGGCATAGCGACATAAACTCGGATATAGATGTCGTTACAGGCGTAGCGGCATAAACTCGGATATGTATATGTCATTACACGCGTAGCGGCATAAACTCGGATATGTATATGTCATTACAGGCATAGCGACATAAACTCGGATATATATGTCGTTACAGGCGTACGCGTAGCGGCATAAACTCGGATGTATATGTCATTGTAGGTGTAGCGACATAAACTCGGATGTGCATGACATTACAGGGTGAAACATTCCAAACATTATATTTTGTTATAATACCTCGAGTTGTTCTTCCGTAGTTTAGTCGCTAAACCTGTTATGTAATGTTTACATCTCTATTTTAATACTTAACCTGCTCCATATGCACGTCAGTCCAATTCTCGCACCAGGACATGTCTAAAGACTTTGTGACGAGTAATTTAGCCAATGCTCCATATAACTATACATCGTATTACATGTAGTCTTACATTCATGTGTAAAAGTACAAATCCAAACAACTCGGTACATTTAATTATCCGATAACGTCATGTATATATAGCATTAACTTCATGTCAGGGCAGTCATTAATATACTACCTTGTATTTGAATACTCTTCAGTAAGAAGTTTTTTCCAAATTTTTAAGAATATGAATACAAAATTGCGGCACTTCCTAAAAAGTGAGCCAATTTTTCGCCAATCACAAATGTTTTGGTGTTATTTTGTTGGAGAATTGATGAGACATTAAGCAAACAGAGCTTCACAGCATGGAGATAGTTATAATCACTTGACAGATACGTGTATAATTATATAGAAGGTATTGGGAGGAGGTCAAGAGACAGCACATGAACTTTTAAGATCGTCAGCACAATATTTAGGTTTTGCAGTAAAAGCAAAAAAGTGGGGTGTGGCATATGTGAACCTGCTAGAAATATCAGGATATAGTAAAGGGACTATAATTTCATCGTCTCCCCATTTCCATAAAAAGCACGGTCCTCCCACATTTCACAGGTAGATTTACATTTTTGATAAGGAAAAGAGTAATATAATCTTTCCCCACCTCGGAGGTAAGAAAAAACATCTCAACGCAAGCTTAAGGTATAGGATTCTTAAATGTCTAGCCCGCGGCTAATTTTCGTGAGATGCAAACGTGAATTTCATAATTTCCAGTAGGTCAGAGTTATCTTCATTGTCGTGACGTCATGCGATTGTTATGACAGGGGAATCCCCCAATCTTTACCCTAGGGTAAGACAGAGATATTTTTCCCTGGCCTGAAGTTTGAATATCATCCAGAGGATTAGAGATTTCTTTGTCACACCCTCAAGGTAGGGGATGATTGTTTTTCTCCGATCCTGTTTCACACACAAATCTGCCAACAAGCGGTGATTGAATGAAACTTAAGTGTTCATTGCATGTTTTCGCACCAAAACCAGAGTCACCATCCATGATCTGCTAATGTTGACGTGACATTAATGCATTGATGACGCGACATACTGTTATTGTTATGATTTAGATCGCGCCATTCTGCACGAGACTATCTACCACCAGGTTGTGACAAGGTGATCTTTTTCTGGCTTAAAAGGGAGACCCACCTGTTAAGGGTGAGAGAACAGTTTTTTTCTCATTTCCCTGTGTGTCAGATTGAGCTTTCTGCCACACTTCAATTCAATTAATTCAACTAGTTTATTCTGTTAGCCTTACGTATACGACTTCTGAGATACAAAACACAATACCAATACATATTACCAGGTTAAACAGAGAAATGATGTACGGGAGAGTGATAATTGTATGTGATAATACTATATATATAATGACTGAGAGCGCTTCTTAATAGCAAATCTTATATATTTACCAAGATTACACAAATCTTTTACATTATTAGCACTGACCAATTTGAACAAGTTTAAATACACTGGGATGACTAAAATAATATGGCTTTAGGCATCTCACCCGTAAATCTGCATAAATAGGACACTTAAGGATGAAGTGAAACTCATCCTCAATATCATGAGTATCACATAATGTACAAACTCTATTGGACCTAGCTAAATTATTGTATCTTCCACTTTCAATATTGAGCTTGTGGGCGCTTAAGCGAATACATGAAATACTGTTCTGATACAACTGATCAATAGGTTTTTGAGGTAGTATTGCAGACCAAAATTATCTACTTAATGCTTCTGTATTTTAGACAAATTTTCTTGTACATGTATATCATAAAATTTGTGCTTTATTAACTTGTACACAATCTTACTTTCATAGCAGTTATTCCATAAATACCCTAATCCTAACTTATTCAATTCTGAGTGTATATTTATAATCCAATCATAACATGCTTTCAATAATACAATTGTCTGTTTCTTTCACTTTAACCCAGTATTTTAATATTTTCATTTTCCGAACAATATATACATTGGAAGTCTACCTAATTCGTAATATACAAGGTCATCCACTGCTTACATAGTTTTATCTGTATTAAGAGTAAGCTTCCATTCATTATTATACAAACATAAAGCATCTAACATAGATTGTAGAGCATGCGGTGTTTCTGCAATAAGAACTGTGTCATCTGCGTACATAAGTAAAAATAAGGATATCATACCAATTTCAACTGGTTGACAATTTTCTCTGATAAAATTAATTTCACAGTCATTGACAAATAATCTGTATAAAATTGGTGAGAGAACTTCTCCTTGGAAAAGACCGATTCTGCTCGAAAAATATTCTGAAATACGACAGTTGTATTTAACACAGGATTTAACATTTTCATAAAAGGATTGTATAATCTTTAACAATTTACCTTGAACTCCGTGTTTAACGAGTTTACACCACAATTTCCCTCTATCAATAAGGTCAAAAGCCTTTTTGTAATCTACAAAGCAATATACCTTTTTTTTTTAACTTAGAGATCTATTAATTAATGACTGAAGTACGAATATAGCATCTACAGTTGAGTGACCAGCTTTAAAACCAAACAGGGCATCAGTAATAATTGAATTTTCTTTGTCCCACTGTTAAGTCTTCTGTTTAAAACTGCAGTAAAAAGTTTGCCCATACAACTGACAAGAGTAATTCCTCTATAATTACCAACATCATTAATATCACCTTTTTGTGTGTACTGGAACAATGCAGCCACGTGACCACACTTCCGGAAAAAGACCCGATTCAAATATTCGTCTGAAAAGCTTCGTTATACAAGGGGTTAAAATGTCTTTATAATCTACGAAAAGTTCATTTAAGATTAAATCTTCACTTCAGCTTTTATCTCTCTTCAAATTTCTAATTGCGATATGTACCTCATCTTCTGTAAATGGTTTATCTAATTCTTCAAATATTGTTAAATCAATGTTATCATAAAAGTCCTGAGTAGTAGCATCAATATCACCAGTGTTACTACTAACACTTTTGAAATATTCTAAAAAATCATTGATATTAATTTGTGGTTGGGATACACTGTTTTTACGCTTTGAAAAATATGTATAAAACTTCTTCGGATTGTTCTTTCTGAGAAACTCGACCATATCACCTTCTTGTCGTTTATATTGTCGTTTGAGTCTATATTCCAACTTTTTGTAAGCCCGTGTTTTACTTATAAGAACAGCATGATTCTCACAGGATTTAGAAACATTAAGATTAAACAATACATTTTTATACTCATTATATTTAATTTTACATTCATCAGTAAACCACGGTTTGTCCTCTTTCTCCACCTTATGTTGACGGGGATAGCGTGACGTACTTTTAGCAATTTTAACGTCACAGTTAGGTAAAATAAGTCATTTATATCACCACAAAAGTTTGCTACACATATATCAAGGTCTTCATGAGTACCCAAAGGCATATCACATATATCAAGGAGTTCTTCAATTATTACATTAAGACCATTACATATTTTATCTGTATTATCTCTGTTCCACCTTACATTTTTACATGTCTTACCTGTACATGTCTTACCTGTACATGCCTTACCTGTACATGTCTTACCTGTACATGCCTTACCTGTACATACCTTACCTGTACATGTCTTACCTGTACATGCCTTACCTGTACACGTCTTACCTGTACATGCCTTACCTGTACATGTCTTACCTGTACATGAAGCACCGTTTTGGTCATCAGTAATATTATTGCTATATGTACTGATATTGAAGGAGAAATACAATGATGAATGGTCAGAAAGAGTATTGAACTCGCCCGTACCAAAGTTTATAACATTAGAAATATAATCACAATCAACTAAGAAGTAATCAATCAGGCTCGTGCCGTTGTTACTACAAAATGTAAGACTTCCGTCTTTGTCACATGTATGACGACCATTAACTATACGCATATTCGTATTTTTACACAATGTAAGTAGTTTTCTGCCATAAGTATTCACATATTTATCCATATTACTACGATTCTGAATATTTAAATCATTACTGAAATACATAAAATCTAACGTATCATTATTAAGGCCATCATTTACTATGAAATCCGGTCTAGTTCCTGTTCTAGCAATAAAGTCGCCGGTAACATATAGATTTCTATTTGTTTTGTAACGGCTAATTGACTCTTCAAGAGTAATAAAAATGTCAACATCACATTTAATATAAAAAAACACTATTTTCTGGCGGGAAATAGCAAAAACACAAAAATACAGACTTTTCATCATACACATGTACATTTTAGCTTAGTTTTACCAAAATATACAATATTTTCAACTAAACAAAACACATTTTTTAAATAGCTCTTGTGTAAAATTACAACTCCGCCTCCTTTCCCAGTAGGTCTAGGAAAAATGTATGTACAGTACCCATCTAGCTCAATAACATCAGTATCTGTAATCCAGCATTCGGTAATACAAACAATATCATATCTATAAATTATGTCTACAAAGTTTTTTCCCTGTGTGTAAGATTGAGCTTTCTGCCACCCTTCACAGGCGTGTTTCCCGTTTTAGCCGGGAAAGATCGGCTTGTCACCCCCTAGGGGGAGATAGCCTCGTGCCGATTAGCACGTGTTCAATTGTGACGTCATGAAAATGCGTCATCGGTAATTGTGACGTCATCAAAAGGGAATGACGATATGCATACCCCACATGTGATTTTGTTTAAAAACATGGCAGACTACTGTTGATTAAGTTGTGACTGAAATAAAAGGATGGGAGAAAAATAATCATCCCCTACCTTGAGGGTGTAACAGAGTAATCTCCAAGCCTCGGGGTTCTTTTTTTGGATGTCTAACCCTCGGCAGAGCCTCGGGTTAGACAACCAAAAAACATGACCCCTCGGGTTGGAAATTTCTCTGTCACACCCTCAGGGCAGGGGAAGATTCTATTAGACCAGGGTAAGAAAGGGGTGTAGGAAATTTCTATCTTACACCCCATTTCACATGACGTGACGTCACAATGGCTCGACAATGACGTGACGTCACGAATTTGGAGCTCTCCGATGCCGCAATGTGGAAAAGGCAACGTGATGAAATTAAGAACCTTTTATGAAATATTTACCGTACACGTTAGAATTATGTTCTCGTCTAAAAAGCTCTGATGGGAAATTGATATTTTCAAAATGGTGGCCAGTCCAAACGCATTTTCATGGTTTCTGAGCTTATTCTTGTGGTTGGAATGAGAGAAAAATACCTTTTCGTGCCCAAGGATTTTCAAATTTGGCAAAACCCTCGGGTGGAATTTCCCTATCCTACACCACTGAGCATGAAGGAGTCTTATATTCTCCCATCCTTCACATGTCTGTCTCCCGTTTAAGCCGGGAAAGATCAGCTTGCCACCCCATAGAGGGAAATAGCCTCGTGCCGATTAACACGTGAGAGACAGCTGTATGGTGCAGAGTAGTTCCTTTTTGGCATAGTGTTTCAATTATAGAATTTTAAGGATGCTATCCCTTTTTGTTGTTTTATGTTCGTCTTTGGTAAAATCATTTCTACAGTTGATATTGACATGAGAATGCAAATCCGTCCGAACTATCTTCCGAAATTGTGTGTAAACTATCTGCTTTCTCTTTCATGCATTAGCTCTTTTTTTCAAAATAGCCTTCCTTCTCCCTGCTATTGAAGAAATATGCAAGGATATAAAAAGAAGAAGAATTGACCCTTTTTCAAACTTGTCTTTCTTATCCAAAATCTTGGGAAAATGCGGTTGTGAGAAAATTTGACAAACGACCTGATGAAAGTTTTCTCACAACAATCTACAAATTGCTCATATTCTATGATATGCAACAGAATCTGGTCTTAGAGAGTAGACCATGATATTGCCGAAACTTCGGACAACAACTGTTCTATTGTGGATCTGACCTCCAAAGGGGTCTGAGGGGTTTTGCCAAAAGGGGTCAAATTGATAAACGTTTCATCGATTTTCTTCTCCAGACATTCTTCTTCAGAGACAGATATGGCAGAATAAAATACTCTTTATGGACGAAAAGGTCTTAAATGTTTTATAAAAAATGTGAATTCCATTACTCAAGGGAGTGGTATTAATTACTTCTGTATTATAATTCTGTTTTCTAACAGTAAACAGATATGTACATGTATATGCTATGTTGGTAAATCACCTATATATCATATGGTATCAGCGAATCAACAGTCAAAAACCATATTTGGATTATACAATGTATGTTTTACTATTATTTGTTGCGTCACAACAATATATAATATAGTTTAACTGAGGTGTCCCTTCATGTGTGTAAGCCTTTTATTATCTATACCCTATACCCCTGTGTTACCATTGACTGTCTGCTCGGCATTGAATATTTGTATATCCACTTTTACTACAATAAGTTATTATCCTTTCTTTTTTTCGGTTGCAAATATAGTACTTGCAGGGTTTTTCCCCCGAGAGAGAAGACCGAGGGAACTATGTTTTCTTGAAGAGAAAATAAAATGTAAACCAAACTTATAGGCTGTTTGATTGTATTGACCCCCATTGTTGTTTAAAAACCCCTTTGCGAGACTTTTAAGATGACGGTAGATAATGAGGTGATAAACTGAGTTGCTTACTAAGGGTGAACGTTTTGTCCGGCAGGCCCGGACCGTGGTCCCTGGACACAGGAGGACCGAAGGTTCGCCAGCATTCGGTGCCAGATCCGTCATGTCTGGAGGATCTATGGGCGTTTTGTCACGAACCAGACTAGGGAGTGGGCAGTCTGACCTCTACTTAACAGAGCTACCACGAAACGATGAGGATGAGGAAACCTTAGGGAAGTTCCAGGGCGACCACGTCATCAACGATAACGGTAAAATGGCGTCATATATAGGCTTGAATGGTGTGTAACTTTCTCAGGTGTTCACCCTAAGGCCCGGTGGTACGAAGCACTACGAATGCGAAATGTTACTTTCCCGTGTAAAATGATATTTAGTAACCCCCCACCCTCCCCCTCAAGACGTATGTCCCTGTTTCAGATAATATTTGTTAGTAATTGTATAAAAGTAGGACATTCTTATAAAAATATTCGAGTAGAAATGCTTGCGTACATTATCATTATAATAAACAAATTCAATCAACTGTCAAATTATCTAAACGCAATATTTCAAGCAGCATACACAAAACTAAGCATAACTAATTTTGGAGGAACAAAAATATAATCAAGTTGTAAAGCTACATGTGAGATTTTTTTTTTACCAAATAGCATGTTCTGCCACCAACACTTCGTTGCTGTTTTTACTCTTTATCTATATGGCGCCAACTGCTGGTGTCACCGAATAACACTAGCGGCCGGCTGTGCACGTGATAACGGCGTTAACGCTAAATATTGGTGTCACAATGTTGATAAACAGATGGAATATCAAAAGCGATTATGATATAACTTTACCATTGTGAATGTCATGTACCCTTCGCCTCTAAAGCAGTTACAAAATCATTGATCACACATATATCGCATGGTATATCCTGCCCTCCTTTTACGTGTAAGTTACAGAATGGAATGGTCGTTTGTTGTCCCTGTAAATCAAGCATACTGTGCTGTGAATGATGGTGGTCGGATTATCAAGACTCCAATATATGTGTCCATACTGGTAATAGATATGGTAGTAAAATCTGCGTCCTATTATAGACGGCTTAATGTTTCTTTTATACATTGAGATGTATCCAAACGATAAGCTTAGTGTGATATAAATATAAAGATTTTATTTTGATATCATTATAACACCCCGTCTAAGTAGTTCGTCTGGTCTCCTCTTACATTCGGTGCCTACAACAACATCCAGTTTTTACAGACTTAGCGTTTGAAGTGTTTTTCTTCTATTTGATTAGTGTGCCTATAGAAAGTTTTTATATATTCTAGCAATATGGTATTTAAAAACACATACTCAGAATATGACACGGACAACACATGTAAAATCGAGGTAGCTGATATCCATGGAGTGTTGACTTTCTTTTCATCATATTTGAATAGGGTTTACCAATGAAGACTTTAAATCAATACCGGTTCCCTTTTCAAACAAGGAGCCTGGCATTATTCTACCTGTGATAGGCTAATTGATCCAAATACGGTCCTTTAATTATGTGTGCAGAGTGCTTAAGATCATTGGAAAGCAAATACACTCCGCTGGGAGTACGACCGGATAGTTCTACACGCTTTAACGATGTATGAATACAAATAATTATGACTGCGTGCTTTAAGCCAGTATAACGCTACTGTGCCTCAATATGATGAGCGTGTTTGATAAGGTCTACTGTGTCAGATCAAAAGTGTCACTACTAAGGATGTAGCAGCGTAACTTTCAACCTAGATGTGTACTGAGGGGAGGCTATTAACACTAAGAGCATATAACACCTTGTGTCCGTAGCCGTTTACCTTGTGGACACTAGCGTCTACAATGCCTTGTGTCTACAGACATTGACAGTGTAGAGACTGCAACATATTGTGTCTATTTAGACGTTTAACGTGTGAAGGTTATGACGTCTCGTGTCTATAGACGTTTACCGTGTGGAGACTGTAACATCTTATGTCCATAGACGTTTACCGTGTGGAGACTGTAACATCTTATGTCCATAGACGTTTACCGTGTGGAGACTGTAACATCTTATGTCCATAGACGTTTACCGTGTGGAGACTGTAACATCTTATGTCTATAGACGTTTACCGTGTGGTGACTGTAACGTCTTGTGTCTATAGACGTTTACCGTGCAGAGACTGTAACGTCTTTTGTCTATAGACGGTTACCGTGGGGAGACTGTAGCGTCTTTTATTTATAGACGTTTAGCGTGTGGAGACTGTACCGTATGGTGTCTATCGAAGTTTACTGTGTGAAGGTTATAACGTCTCGTGTCTATAGACGTTTTCCGTGTGGGGACTGTAACGTCTTATGTCTATAGGAGTTTACAGTGTGGAGACTGTAACGTCTTATGACTATAGACGTTTACCGTGTGGAGACTGTAGCGTCTTGTGTTTATAGACGTTTACCGTGTGGAGACTGTAACGTCTTGTGGCTATAGACGTTTACCGTGCGGAGACTGTAGCGTCTTTTATTTATAGACGTTTACCGTGTGGAGACTGTAACGTCTTATGTCTATAGGCGTTTACCGTCTGGAGACTGTAACGTCTTATGTCTATAGGCGTTTACCTTGTGGAGACTGTAACGTCTTATGTCTATAGGCGTTTACCGTGTGGGGACTGTAACGTCTTATGTCTATAGGAGTTTACAGTGTGGAGACTGTAACGTCTTATGACTATAGACGTTTACCGTGTGGAGACTGTAGCGTCTTTTGTTTATAGACGTTTACCGTGTGGAGACTGTACCGTATGGGGTCTATCGAAGTTTACCGTGTGAAGGTTATAACGTCTCGTGTCTATAGACGTTTACCGTGTTGAGACTGTAACGTCTTGTGTCTATAGACGGTTACCGTGCGGAGACTGTAACGTCTTGTGTCTATAGACGTTTACCGTGCGGAGACTGTAATGTCTTGTGTCTATAGACGTTTACCGTGTGTAGACTGTAACGTCTTGTGTCTATATACGTTTACCATGTGGAGACTGTAGCGTCTTTTGTTTATAGACGTTTACCGTGTGGAGACTGTAACGTATGGTGTCTATCGAAGTTTACCGTGTGAAGGTTATAACGTCTCGTGTCTATAGACGTTTACCGTGTGGAGACTGTAACGTCTTGTGTCTATAGACGTCTACCTTGTGGAGACTGTAGTGTCCTGTGTTTTATATAGACGTTTATATTATGAAGACCTCAAAGTCTTGTGTCTGTTAAGACGTCTTCCGGTAAGATACTGTAGCGTCTGGTGTATAAAGACGTTTCCGTGTGGTGACTGTACCGCTTTGTGTCTATAGACGTCTTCCGGTAAGATACTTTAGCGTCTTGTGTATAAAGACGTTTCCGTGTGGTGATTCTACCGTCTCGTTTGTATAAAGACGTCTACTGGCTGGATATAAACGTCTTCCGAGTTGAGACTGTAACGCGTTGTGTCTTTATACGTGTACCCTTGTTTACCGTAAAGTAGCAGCTATAGGGATATAGTATCAACATATCACATTGTGTACATACCACAGCTGTTTGGTGTTAAAACAGGGTAACAAGTGTATTTTGTGTCAACTGTATTACAACATGTGTCATTCATGGAATTATATGTCATTTTTACTCTGAACAATGGCTAACTCCCGACTACAGGATTATCAGCATATTGGACAGCCTTTTCTTGCTGAGGAAACTCGACTCCATTTTGGTGAAGCTTTTCTCCCATTGTTATTCACGTATCTCCGACTTTTCAATTTAGTTATTTTTTTATTTTTCAATAAAAGTCTATAATCCTTCATCCTCAAATTATTATATATCGCACTGTATTTTTTCCGACATGAATGTTCTCCATGTCGTCACTATTTGGCTACGATGATGATGCCTCGTTTTTGTGCATCATGTATGCATTGTTGGCGTAATTAGTAAATTTTTAACTTGCCCCCCCCCCCCATTTTTTCGAGGGGGGGGGGCACAACAAATACATGTACCACATACAAATGATATGTCAGTATATTGACCCTATTTGTGTTGTATATACGCAAACATGTTTATCACTTAATGACATGGGACGACGGTTGTTAACATGTTATGGTACATGTATTAGGTATGCGGTATCGATTTCAATCTGTTCGAATTGAGCTAATTTTACTGCAAATTAATATTAGCAGAGGTTTTTTTTATGAAAAAGGGACCAGTTGTTTGTGTAGAAAGTAACATTTTGGTATTGCATATTTCCAAACTGATGAATCCTAGTGAGGATAAGAGTTTTTATATGTTCTTAAGTAATGTTATCGATAACACGAGATCAGCTCTGACTATATATGTACTTCCCACTTGATGTTTGTTTGGACATGGAATCTATTTTTTTCTGATTCAGAAAGGAAAAAGAAAAAATTGGAACAATCGGAAGTTAAGAAGGAAATATACAAAAGAGAATGCGCTCGATGTCATGTTGTACCTGTCAGCGCCTACCTCCGGGCGCCATCCAGCAGTTCCCTCGTCATACGTCACTACAATCTAGGACCAAACGGCGCAAAGGCGCTGTCCGCCCCACTAATGGTAAATTGTTGGAGATGATATCTAGATTATAGTCCTATACTTAAATCTAGATTGCTCTAGACCAGCTGAGAGGTATGTCGTATTTACCCAGTAAAGCATTCATGTACAAATGTATTTTGCTGGCTCGTAATTATCAAATGTTTGTCAGATTCAATCAGTTTGTGTTTTGACAACCACTTGCCAGTGGGTGTCATTAAAAACTACATCCTGGTGGAGACAAAAGTGAGGTTTATACCGCTACCTGTCAATATTACACCTGATAATATCGGTATGTATATACCAGTAATTACACACTAACACACACAGATATAGAACGGCACGGGATATTAAACTATGTCGATAAATATCATATCATTAACATAATACCAACAACGTCCTTAAACTAATGGAATTATCTTTGTTTGTGTTTACTTGTTAAACCCCAATCACCCTAGCCCCTACCCACCCACCAACACACACACAACAACGTTAGGGGTCATAATGAAACCAGCTTGCCCTTCTAGAGTCCTTGTATTAAAAAAATGTCTTAACAGCTCGTTTTAATCCCATACGCCGATATCAACCACTGTTTATATACAAGGTCGGTAAATCATGCAGTTACGGGCCCGACATTTAAATTTCACAAAGATGTTGCCTTTTGTGTACTTTCGAGTAATTTCAATGATCGAGCATGCAGGTGTTTAAGTATGTCTTTGGTTCAGGGTTCTAGTGTCATTGGCATGTTTTAATGTTATTTAGTATACATATTGACGTATGACTGTTCACCAATATAATATGCTGTCTAAACATTTATCTGTACAGTAATACTGTACGCGTACTTATCTTAGCGCACTCAAATACCATTTAATCAGTGTTAAACATGTTGTGACATTGTACATGTATACTCCACAAGTGGAAATAATGTGTTATGACATTGTATACTCCACAAGTAGAATTAATGGACTGTGGATTTTAAATATCCCTGAAGATCTTTTAATCAATCTTAAAGAACTTTACCTCAAGAACCATTCTTCTATCAGAATAGTTGAATGTCCTGCTCCATACACTACAAGTCACCATACCAAACGCATGCGTTCTCTTTTATTGTAGTAGCTTTCAATTCTTTAGAAAGGCGACCGACGTTATAGATATATGGTTGTAAATCATTTTGAATCATATTTTGTGAAAAAATCTCGACGATGTCCAATATGAAATAGACTGAGGATTAAATAGTGAGAATGTTCGAGTTACTTGTTCACACAATAATTGTGGAGTTCGAAGACAAGGTTTTCCACACTGTCGACATTCCCATGGAAACAAGCAGTGCCCCATTCCTGGTCAACTTGTTTTCATTTGAGGATTTTTTAATTGAAAAGTGTTGGGTTTTTTCAAAATTGAGAACAAAAATTCTTCATTATGTTTTCATCTTAGCTTTAAGATATCCTGACGATGTGTAGCAAGAACTTTAATTGACTACGAATGACATTAGTCTCTTCTACATCAGCTGCTTACCTCGATATTTACTTACAGCATGACCAACAGGGACGGCCTACCACCAAGCTGTACGATAGCGTGACGACTTCGATTTTCTGATTATGAACTTTCCCTTTCTTTCTAGTAACTGTAAATCTCCCTACTTACGATATTAATTTGTAGCAATTGATTCAGAATACAAGGGCTTCTTCCGAATATCTCGACTTTTGTGACATGTAGTTTCATGATGAGTGAACCTATAATACAAATTTTCGAGAGATGCAGGCTGACGCAGGTTGATGAAGGCTATGGGCAGGTTTAAGGCCGCAATCATGATATCATAGGGGACTATTATATCTCCTTTTTTAATCATACTCATAAGTCTGTCTTGTAGTTTCGTTGTTACTTCCCCGGTTATTACTCTTGAGAACGTGACATTCCTTGGATCTGACCAAGATTTACATGGTGGGTGTCGTCGATGAAGCAGAAGATGTTAACTCTAAAGGAACACCTCGTTTTAGTCTCCTCATGTTGCACGTTTACAAGAGTCTTCATTTAATATTTCCTTTATTTTCCCAAGTTTCATCGATTTCGAGTACGAATAACAGTTTTGGTTACATTTAGGTATTTTTTAGTTGTAACTTACAGCAATAGTATTCGTTTTAACTATATTTGAAGGTAGTCAGGACTATATCACCCTTCTGAATGGTAACGACGGCGAGTCAGTGTATATAAAGACATATTTCTGTGATTTCAGTTGGACGATACGGTGACGCATGTAGACATTGTTGGTAACGCTATAGAGGTACAAGGCCTGGTCTCCCTCCTACAAGCTATCACCGAAAACCGATCTGTACGACACTTGGTAAGTCTATTTGTATACAGAGACATGGTATTGACCGTTTGTCTGTAGACTCCAGACTACTCCTCCTGAATTACTGAGCAGATTTTAATCATATTTAGCACACATCTTACACATCACTTAAAACTGTGCATCACTGTTCGCCATGTCGATTTCACTACTACTGAGAAAGTAACTAGGGATGTTCATTTACTTAGCATAACAAAATGTGTTTAATCTGCTACTTCAAAAGTGTCAGGTGGATTTCCAAGGTTTTTCCCTGACATCTCTTAAATATCGTATGAACATGTAAAATGGCGTTGTAGTGTAAAGTTATTTAACGCTTTTATAAAAAAAAAAATGATCTTAGTGTTGTAATTAAATGTAATTTGATATGAAGTGCATGTGTTGGAGGAATTGAATAATATTGTGAAAACGAATTGGAATAGTGATATATGAGATACATATTTAATTTGGATTTCTCTTTTACAAAACCATGATTATTCCTTATTGAGTGATAGGGTATTTAAATTTCTGTACTTGTATACTTTGTTTATTATGGTGTTCATAAAGCGGGTATTTAATTTTTCCTTTGAAAAAACCCATATGTATATACCTACCAAAAATTTGAAAGCATTCAGCTGAGTTATATATTTATTTTACATACAGGACATATCTGACAATAATCTGACGAGTACAGGAGCCAAGGTTCTCGGCGAATTCATACGTCATAATAAAAACACAACTCTCGAGCATCTAGTGATGTCTGGTGAGTGACGTCATACATCAAAGTAAAATCACTTCTGCCAGGTACGTTATGCTGTTTGCAAAGTGACGTCACACATTAGAGTAGAGTACTACTCTCAAGAATCTGGTGATGGTATGTGACGTCATACTAAGTTAATCACGCTCTTTTCATAGCATCTCGTATCTGGTCGTTGACATCATATACTGTGTATTACAGTACAACACTATTTTCGTCATCTGATAGTATCTGATCAGTAAGGTCATTAATAACGGTTTGGTGAAAAACAGTATGCTACACGTTCCTTATGACAGATCTTCATAATTCCTGAGAGACAGACTGGTCACAAACAACCCGATGAGTATGTAACGCAGTCTTAGGGGACGAAATATGCACAAATGATTAAAACCAGCAATATCTTTTTCGTAGCAACCGTTTCACTCCTAAAATTCCAGCTTGATCCAAAGGAGCGAGAAGTCCTAATTTGTGTTATGCTTTGAAAGGGGTTTGTCTAAAGTACGTACGGTTCTGCTTTATGTTTGTGTTAATGTCTACCACTGGTGCTCAAATGTAGACACAATCTTATATTCGGATACGTCGCCTGTTCCCAAGATAACACAATACAATCAAACCTTTAAAGGTTGTGTATTGTTAGGATAAAGCAAGACAATATTTATGTAGTAGCTATAATGTCCTGTATGATCGTATTGTATTGATAGAAAGAACAAATAAAACATCCCTACAAATGAATAGTGAATGGCATTTGTCGCGAGGGACATGATAGGAAGGACATTGAAAAAGGACGACACATGTTGACGACAACCTAGGGAGGACACTGATAATAGACGACACATATTGACGACAACCTAGGAAAGACATTGATAAAGGACGACACATGTTGAGAACAACCTAGGAAGGACACTGATAAAGGACGACACATATTGACGACAACCTAGAAAGGACATTGATAAAGGACGACACATGTTGACGACAACCTAGGAAGGACACTGATAAAGGACGACACATATTGACGACAACCTAGAAAGGACATTGATAAAGGACGACACATGTTGACGACAACCTAGGAAGGACACTGATAAAGGACGACACATATTGACGACAACCTAGAAAGGACATTGATAAAGGACGACACATGTTGACGACAACCTAGGAAGGACATTGATAATGGACGACACATATTGACGACAACCTAGGAAGGACATTGATAATGGACGACACATATTGACGACAACTTAGGAAGGACATTGATATTGAACGACACATATTGACGACAACCTAGTAAGGACATTGATAATGAACGACACATATTGACGACAACTTAGGAAGGACATTGATATTGAACGACACATATTGGCGACTCCCTTCGAAGTACACTGGTAATGGACGACACATTTTGGCAACAACCTAGGAAGGACATTGATAATGAACGACACATATTGACGACAACCTAGGAAGGACATTGATATTGAACGACACATATTGGCGACTCCCTTCGAATCACACTGGTAATGGACGACACATATTGACGACAACCTAGGAAGGACATTGATAAAGGACGACACATGTTGACGGCAACCCAGGAAGTACATTGATAATGGACGACACATGTTGACGACAGCCTTGGAAGGACATTGATAATGGCCGACACATGTTGACGACAACCTAGGAAGGACACTGGTAATGGACGACACATATTGACGAAAACCTAGGAAGGACATTGATATTTAACGACACATATTGGCGACTCCCTTCGAATCACACTGGGAATGGACGACACATATTGACGACTACCTAGGAAGGACATTGATAATGAACCACACATATTGACGACAACCTAGGAGGACATTGATAATGGACGACACATATTGTCGACAACCTAGGAAGGACATTGATAAAGGACGACACATGTTGACGGCAACCCAGGAAGGACATTGATAATGGACGACACATGTTGACGACAACCTTGGAAGGACATTGATAATGGACGACACATGTTGACGACAACCTAGGAAGGACATTGATCATGGACGACACATATTGGCGACTCCCTGCGAAGGACACTGGTAATGGACGACACATTATGGCAACAACCTAGGAAGGACATTGATAATGGACGACACATATTGGCGACTCCCTGCGAAGTACACTGGTAATGGACGACACATTTTGGCAACAACCTAGGAAGGACATTGATATTGAACGACACATATTGGCGACTCCCTTCGAAGTACACTGGTAATGGACGACACATATTGACGACAACCTAGGAAGGACATTGATATTGTACGACACATATTGACGACAACCTAGGAAGGACATTGATATTTAACGACACATATTGACGACAACTTAGGAAGGACATTGATAATGGACGAAGGACATTGATATTGAACGACACATATTGGCGACTCCCTTCGAAGTACACTGGTAATGGACGACACATATTGACGACAACCTAGGAAAGACATTGATAAAGGACGACAATNAACGCATGCGTTCTCTTTTATTGTAGTAGCTTTCAATTCTTTAGAAAGGCGACCGACGTTATAGATATATGGTTGTAAATCATTTTGAATCATATTTTGTGAAAAAATCTCGACGATGTCCAATATGAAATAGACTGAGGATTAAATAGTGAGAATGTTCGAGTTACTTGTTCACACAATAATTGTGGAGTTCGAAGACAAGGTTTTCCACACTGTCGACATTCCCATGGAAACAAGCAGTGCCCCATTCCTGGTCAACTTGTTTTCATTTGAGGATTTTTTAATTGAAAAGTGTTGTTGTTTTTCAAAATTGAGAACAAAAATTCTTCATTATGTTTTCATCTTAGCTTTAAGATATCCTGACGATGTGTAGCAAGAACTTTAATTGACTACGAATGACATTAGTCTCTTCTACATCAGCTGCTTACCTCGATATTTACTTACAGCATGACCAACAGGGACGGCCTACCACCAAGCTGTACGATACGCGTGACGACTTCGATTTTCTGATTATGAACTTTCCCTTTCTTTCTAGTAACTGTAAATCTCCCTACTTACGATATTAATTTGTAGCAATTGATTCAGAATACAAGGGCTTCTTCCGAATATCTCGACTTTTGTGACATGTAGTTTCATGATGAGTGAACCTATAATACAAATTTTCGAGAGATGCAGGCTGACGCAGGTTGATGAAGGCTATGGGCAGGTTTAAGGCCGCAATCATGATATCATAGGGGACTATTATATCTCCTTTTTTAATCATACTCATAAGTCTGTCTTGTAGTTTCGTTGTTACTTCCCCGGTTATTACTCTTGAGAACGTGACATTCCTTGGATCTGACCAAGATTTACATGGTGGGTGTCGTCGATGAAGCAGAAGATGTTAACTCTAAAGGAACACCTCGTTTTAGTCTCCTCATGTTGCACGTTTACAAGAGTCTTCATTTAATATTTCCTTTATTTTCCCAAGTTTCATCGATTTCGAGTACGAATAACAGTTTTGGTTACATTTAGGTATTTTTTAGTTGTAACTTACAGCAATAGTATTCGTTTTAACTATATTTGAAGGTAGTCAGGACTATATCACCCTTCTGAATGGTAACGACGGCGAGTCAGTGTATATAAAGACATATTTCTGTGATTTCAGTTGGACGATACGGTGACGCATGTAGACATTGTTGGTAACGCTATAGAGGTACAAGGCCTGGTCTCCCTCCTACAAGCTATCACCGAAAACCGATCTGTACGACACTTGGTAAGTCTATTTGTATACAGAGACATGGTATTGACCGTTTGTCTGTAGACTCCAGACTACTCCTCCTGAATTACTGAGCAGATTTTAATCATATTTAGCACACATCTTACACATCACTTAAAACTGTGCATCACTGTTCGCCATGTCCATTTCACTACTACTGAGAAAGTAACTAGGGATGTTCATTTACTTAGCATAACAAAATGTGTTTAATCTGCTACTTTAAAAGAGTCAGGTGGATTTCCAAGGTTTTTCCCTGACATCTCTTAAATATCGTATGAACATGTAAAATGGCGTTGTAGTGTAAAGTTATTTAACGCTTTTATAAAAAAAAAAATGATCTTAGTGTTGTAATTAAATGTAATTTGATATGAAGTGCATGTGTTGGAGGAATTGAATAATATTGTGAAAACGAATTGGAATAGTGATATATGAGATACATATTTAATTTGGATTTCTCTTTTACAAAACCATGATTATTCCTTATTGAGTGATAGGGTATTTAAATTTCTGTACTTGTATACTTTGTTTATTATGGTGTTCATAAAGCGGGTATTTAATTTTTCCTTTGAAAAAACCCATATGTATATACCTACCAAAAATTTGAAAGCATTCAGCTGAGTTATATATTTATTTTACATACAGGACATATCTGACAATAATCTGACGAGTACAGGAGCCAAGGTTCTCGGCGAATTCATACGTCATAATAAAAACACAACTCTCGAGCATCTAGTGATGTCTGGTGAGTGACGTCATACATCAAAGTAAAATCACTTCTGCCAGGTACGTTATGCTGTTTGCAAAGTGACGTCACACATTAGAGTAGAGTACTACTCTCAAGAATCTGGTGATGGTATGTGACGTCATACTAAGTTAATCACGCTCTTTTCATAGCATCTCGTATCTGGTCGTTGACATCATATACTGTGTATTACAGTACAACACTATTTTCGTCATCTGATAGTATCTGATCAGTAAGGTCATTAATAACGGTTTGGTGAAAAACAGTATGCTACACGTTCCTTATGACAGATCTTCATAATTCCTGAGAGACAGACTGGTCACAAACAACCCGATGAGTATGTAACGCAGTCTTAGGGGACGAAATATGCACAAATGATTAAAACCAGCAATATCTTTTTCGTAGCAACCGTTTCACTCCTAAAATTCCAGCTTGATCCAAAGGAGCGAGAAGTCCTAATTTGTGTTATGCTTTGAAAGGGGTTTGTCTAAAGTACGTACGGTTCTGCTTTATGTTTGTGTTAATGTCTACCACTGGTGCTCAAATGTAGACACAATCTTATATTCGGATACGTCGCCTGTTCCCAAGATAACACAATACAATCAAACCTTTAAAGGTTGTGTATTGTTAGGATAAAGCAAGACAATATTTATGTAGTAGCTATAATGTCCTGTATGATCGTATTGTATTGATAGAAAGAACAAATAAAACATCCCTACAAATGAATAGTGAATGGCATTTGTCGCGAGGGACATGATAGGAAGGACATTGAAAAAGGACGACACATGTTGACGACAACCTAGGGAGGACACTGATAATAGACGACACATATTGACGACAACCTAGGAAAGACATTGATAAAGGACGACACATGTTGAGAACAACCTAGGAAGGACACTGATAAAGGACGACACATGTTGACGACAACCTAGGGAGGACATTGTAATGGACGACACATCTTGACGACAACCTAGGAAGGACATTGATAAAGGACGACACATGTTGACGACAACCTAGGAAGGACATTGATAATGGACGACACATATTGACGACAACCTAG